ACTAGAATAAAAATGGTTGTAAAATCAAGTCCCTTTTTTACACCTCCAAACATCGATCAAACCTAAAGTATTGGTCAGCTTTAAGTTTGATTGATATTTGGAGGTATAAAAATGGGCTAACAAAAGACTACCTTTTTTTCAGAGAGATTGTAAAATCAAGTCCCATCACATGATGACTTGCTTAATGACTGCATTGCTTAGCAACCAAAATTCCAGTCCCAATTGTGATCGTAAATCGAGGATTACCTGTAGTGTAACATGAATAGTATTACTTGTACTGATGTTTTTAATTTAAATAATTTACCTATTTAATTATTTGTGAAATATTTATACATTACATTGCCAAAAAAAAATGGTCAGGCAAATATGTGTGAGTTTTTTAACACTTCAAGGTGCTTATTGTCTTCGTAGCTACTGTTGAAACACATAAATATATCGAACCAGGCAAAGTATTTTTTACTTGATCACATATGTAAATATTTTCATTTTCTTTTCAATTTTTCTCTCTGTCCCACCACATTTTAAATCCTTTAACATACAATATAAAAACTATGTCTGTATTTTCTTTCATAGAAATGTTTGGATAACTTTTCACTGAAAAGTCTTTACAGTAGAAAAGGATTTTTTTATAGCTGTTTCATAACTGTGTATAGAGACCTTATTTAAACTAATGCAGTGTTTCCCAAACCTGAATACATTACTCAAAATTGGGAAGGAGAAGTTTTTCTTTGGGTAACAACATATAAACCGATTACCCAATTAGAATAGGGGTATTAAATTGACTTAAACTATTTTACATACATTGGATAAAAAGCACTGTCTGGTAAGTGGTTTTGGAAAGCTTTGGGAAGCATTGGACTAGTGGGTTCTCCTAAAGCTTAGGAATACATGTTCAGTGAAAGCATATAAATGCAGGTTAGAAACAATAAAATAATTGTTTTCTCTCTCCACTCCATCTCCCTGAAAGCCTCGTTGTTCACTGAACGCTAGTACAGGTGCTCCTCAATTTACAACCACAATTGGGATAGGCATCTCAGCGTTGAGCAAAAGTGGTCATTCAGTCAGATAGTCACGTGACTGCTTTGTTCAACAACTGCAATCACAACTGTCCCAATTGCAGTCATGAAGTAACCACACAGGTTGTTAAGCGGATGGCACAACTGAGCTTCCTATTGAAGGAGGGAAGGCTCTCATCTGTGTGTAGAAGGGAACTCCCAACAAGTTGCAGGAATGGAGCTTGGATCTTCAGGAGCTACACCCCTTCATATTCTGAAGGGAACACCTGCATTAAGCTAGCAAAGTGAACCTTGGATCCTGAAGATCTTAAGTTTCGTTTCTGCATCCAATCAAGGATTTTCCTTCCCTGTGTCCATGGAGGGGAGGAGAAATCCATCGGCTAATAGCAACAGTTTGCATCTTCTCTGTCTTTCTGGGGAAACTGGCAGAGAAGATTGCAAATGGCAACCACATGATCGGAGGATACTTGGCAACTGTTTATAAGCACAAACAAATTGCCAATCACAGATCACAATATGATGGGTGGCTAGTGTGGCCAGAATTATAGTGGCCAGAAATGCTTAATGGATCTTTGTAACTTTGAACAGTCATTAAACGACCAGTAATAAGTTGAGGACTACCTGTATTTCAATGAAAAAAGGTTCCTCCTTAATTGTTCTTTGATAGGTCAATCTGTACCCTAGTTACTCCGACGTGTTTGATTTAAGGTGATTGTGAGAGTACAGTTTGCATGACCAAATATATTAGGAATCACATTTCTCTTTCAAACTCAGATCTTGGCACAGCTCTAACATTTGATACAGTGTTTCACTTGACTATTCTTTTCTATACGCATTTTGGAAGATGTAATGGAGAAGATATCAAGCGGAGTTTTCAAGTAAGGATAAATTGGTGTTTGAAGCATTATAACCATTTTAAAATATATTTATTTAAGTATTTTATCAATTAACTGCTTTAAAAAGATTGGAAAATTATAATTAAACATTTAGCCGCAATTAGCTCTAGAGATCCTAGATATTCTAGATCAGGACTGCAAAACACATAAAGGGGAAAGGGCCACATTGATATTTTAATAATCCTTGTGGGCCACAAAAAATACTTGGAGTGCTGATGAGATGTTTTGTGCTAATGAAGCAGTGAAAGTGCTAGAGTTGGCAATGAAGTTTGCAAAAATCCATGCATATTTTTCCCTTAGGACAAACTGCATATAAGTAAACCCACTTAGGATGGATTACTCATGCATTATCTGGAAAACAGCCTTTTTAGATGTTGCATTTGTTCACAGTCCATGTGCATATTCATAGATCTTGACAGCCTATAAAAGTTTACTAGAAATCAAGTTATTGTACAATATATGTGTACATTTTCAGTTGAATATGAGTTGATGGCAGACATTCTCTTTGGGGCTCCCCTTTTAACAGCATGGCCTGCAGGGCAAGAATGGTCTCCATTCTTATGGCATTTTGAAAATTGGTAAAAACCTGACTCTTCAGGAAGAATTTTGGAGACTCCTCCCACCAGTAATATTTTAATAATTTTATTTTATGTACTTGTTGATACTTTTTTGCGGAGTGTCTTAATATCTATAAACTGCCTAAAGATTGCTAGGGAGTGAAGTAATGGATAAACCAAATAAATAAATGCTGTGCATTTATAATTTTTGTTTTTCTTCTCAGGCCTCATCTGGATAAACCTGTACCATTATATGAAGCTAAAGTTTCTATGGAATTAGTTCAGAAGAATCAAGCAAGAAAAAAACAAGTTATCCAACTATGAAGTTTCTAAGGCAATTTGAACTGAAAAAGTGAAGGTTAATGCATTCTGCATAGTTGTTAAATATTTATCAATTGTCTTCAGCCAGTATCTGAAACAGTTCTTAATAACTATAGTTTGAGTCCCTTATAACCTTAGATTTAATTTATGTGTCTAAAAACCATAAGGCTTACCTTTGACTATTGTGTATTGCTTTCTTTTGTTTGGCTTTTTCATTTTGAGGGGAGGGGTGACTGCATGTTCATTCAGATGAAGAAAGGAGAATCCTATGTCACAGAAAACTACGTTTGATCCAAGCATGAAACAGTAGAACAGGTTTACTATGAATCTAAGTAACGGCGAATATTTTTCAAAAAAGACTTCTTGGTCTAGATTTTTGGGTTGGCTGAATGTTTTCTTTAATGTTCCATCATGAATGGGAAACTATGAGCAACATATTTTAACTTTGTAATTTTCCCTTTCAGTACATTTTGTTTCTATCTTTATTAGAATTGTCACATAAACTTCAGTTTCATTTACAAAGAACAAGGCACATTGAAATAAACCTGAGTAAAGTTGTAATCTTGGAAAAGCATTTCACAATACAATAAAGAGATGCCTCCCATTCAAATTTAAAGAATTGGATGCATTATTTGTCTTCCCTGTTTTCAAATATCTACTTTTAAAATTCTTTTGTTTAGAATATGGGGATATAAACCTGCATTTGTTTATTCAGAAGTACAATACTTATCCCCAAAGGCAATTTTATAATGTCTAATGTTTCTAATGTAAATGAAGCGGGCTCTGATAGATGACCACTGGATAACTTTCTATTCACTCTATTCTAAAAAGCAATGCATCCGGTTGGAAAAAGTACAAACTCAGCCAAAATCCTTTTGGTACCTCTAGGAGGCCTCTAAGTTGTCAGAAGAAAGGAACATTCTAATGACATACAGCTTAAAGGTTGGTTAGGTCAAGGGGATCCACATGAGTTAAAAGTTGTCTATCATCAGAAGATGCTATGCTTCAGTAATCTACAAAAAGAATTATAACTGTTGGCAAAGAATAAAAAGAAACAGTAATTAGGAAATGTCAATTAAAAATGACAAATGTATATGACCATATGAATTGCTGAGTTAACAGAATCCTTTGTCTAGAAGGGTATAAAAACCATTGTACCTAATTTCTGTCTTTGTTCAACGCTTCATATACAGAGCTTTGAACCTATTGCGCAATATACAAATTGTCTCTGATTAACCCAAAAGTTGTGTTGGTCTTATTAAATCCACAACATTTAAAGTCTACAATGTTTTGTTATTTGATTTCTGATCATACTTAAAATATATAATTCTAGGATAATCAAGACTATTGCACCAAATAACGAAGAAACCTGTAACATGTTTATTTTGGCATATGCTATAACAGATCCGGGCTTGCTAAGTGCAATTTTATTAGTTGGCATACATAAACTTTTTTTTAATTCAGTGGTCAAAAATTCTATTATTTGTAATAAAAGTTATATTGCCGCCCATCTTATGCAACTCTGAATGGTTCACAAATCTATAAGTCCAGACATTTTTAAAAGTGCCCGAGATTGAGAAACACTGCACTAAGGAATTATGGATGATAAAGCTGTATTTCTACTAGATCGACAAGGGAAATCCAATTCTCACCCTTCTAATACTAGTAATTGGTAGAGAGCTGAAATGGATCCAGATTTACAATTCTCAAGTCTTCGTCTTTTGTCCCGGATGTTTAATAGTGGTGGATTTATTTATTTATTTATTTTATCATATTTGTATACCGCCCTACTCCCGAAGGACTCAGGGCGGTGAACAGCCAAAATAAAATACAAAGACATACAAAAGTTAAAAAACTATTAAAAACAGATCAAATAATTTAATTTAATTAAATAATAATTAAATAATTTAGGCTCAAAGAACAAATTAAGACATCCAATTTATCTAAAAAACCATCTCGTAATGAAAATCAAATGTTCAAAAGCAAGAAGGAACCCGTTAAGTCTGCAGTTATTCTCTCTTTTCCCCTTGCGAGCGGAGCTCTGTTTGCCTATCGGAGCTTTGATAGCGGGAAAAAGCAGCTCTGGGCGTGCGTGGGGAAAGGGGTGGTGATCCTCGTGAAAGAGCTCCGTTCGGATTGGTTGCCTTTTCCGCGGGCAAAAGAAAGGAACACGCCCAGCTGCTAGGCGGGGCTTTCAAGTAAAGCGCGGAATTCTTCTTGGGCTGCTAGGCTCCTTCCAGCCGCCTCCACCGACCGAGCGGCATGTGTTCCGTGGTTCCCGATTATTCTCCCGGCTTTAAGAAGCCGCCGGAGATATTGCGCTTGAAGAGGAAGAGGCCTCGGAGAAGCGAAACGGTCGCGCTTTCCGGAGAGTCTTCCTTTGCGACAACCCTCAAGGACTCGCCTGTTCCCCCTCGGCTCGGTCCGGGGAGTCGGCGGCGCAACCCCTTCACAAACGTGGGAAACACGCCTTGTCTTCTGCCGGAACCCAGTCTGGTTCAATCTTCTACCCAGAGACTTGCAGAAGTGGAGTGGTTAGTGGCGAGGAATGACGTATCCAGCAGATCCGAGAAGCAGGTAAATTGGGCTCTGCCGTCACTGTTTGCAACCCTTCGATGGGCGTTAGACCGAATTGCGTATCAGTCAAGCGTGTCGTTGTGCCCACGGAGTAGAAAGCAATAGAACTTAGTGATTAAATGTGTATAAGGAGGTGTAAAATGAGTTTTAAATTTGAAGGAAAATGACACAACAATCAGTGGAACAACTTGCCTCCACAAGTTGTGAATGCTCCAACACTGGAAGTTTTTAAGAAGAGATTGGACAAAAGTCCAATTGGTAGAGTAGTTGAAAATAACTTGTTACAACTGTTGATTTTTAGAGAAATCAAAAGATGTTTAGAGGAGCCTGATGATGAAAAACATTTATTAAACTTTTTGGGGCCTGAAATAAATCAGAGTTCCTATTTCAGGCCATTTAACACAAATAATCATCGCTTTCTCTTGTGTCACTTCACATTAATCCAGAATGTATACATTAATAGTGGAAAGTGGTTTCAACTATATACCTTTTGCCAGAAGTTGTGGGTGCTCCAACACTGGAAGTTTTTAAGAAGAGATTGGACAATCATTTGTCTAAAATGGTATAGGGTTTCCTGCCTGAGCAGGGGGTTGGACTAGAAGACCTCCAAGATCCCTTCCAACTCTTGTTATTCTGTTCTGTTCTTTTATGATAAATCTTAAATTTAAGGTGGTGAGCACAGCTCTCAGTCTTGTGTGCCTGATTGGCATGTTTGAAATGCTAAGAAGATAAGAACGTTCCTACCACATAGTTAATAACAACATAATCATTTATGAGAACGAAAATTACTGGGAATAGTGCCTCTCCATATTTGACTCAGCTTATTTATGACAACGTTGTTATGTTTCTGTTTTTTCCTTTGGTTTTTTGAGAGAGAAAAAGATGGCTGCTATCAAGCCAAAACCTTTTCCAAGCCTTCAGCATATTTCTTGACTGCTTGTTCCTTTACTGTTGTTGCTTGATCCTAAAAGACTATCTACCTCTTTGACATCTCTATTGTCAATTTTAAGGCTGGGTGTTCTACCTGTTGTCATTAATTTGATCTTCATTATATTTCATGTTAGTCCCATTTTTTTCATTATGCTCCTTAACTTTTATTACTTTTATTAACTTTTGTTATTCTATTTTATTAGAGCTTCCTCATCCTTTGCGTTTTAAGTTATTATACAAGGAATCCCCACTGATGATAATTGGAACCACGAACTCATATAATTGTGGCAACTTATGATGGCAATTCTGGCAGTTCCTGTTGCCATCATTAAACAAATCCTGTGTGGTCAAAGTGTTCCACAACCATGTAATTCCCATTTGTGTTCTCCTGCCAGCTTTTACATTAACTTTGCTTGTAGGAAGCTGGCAGAGATGGTCACAAATGGTCATGATCAAGGGACATTGCAATATTTTTATTTTGAGCTGGTCACCAAGTGCCGGCACTGAGATCACATGACTGTGGGAATGCTGCAATAGCTGCAACTATAAGGAATACCCTTGCTCAGTGCTGTTGTAACTTTGAACAAATGTACTAAATAAATGCATGGGCAAGGAGTACCTGTAGTGACATCAGCATAGCACAGGTTATTGATATTTTTTCCTCCAACTTTAAAACCATACTCATCTTCCAATCCATCTTCCTTTAATATATATTCAGCATATAGATAGAATATATAATGGAAAAGTATACAGCTTTATCCACTGAGCTTGTCAATTAGAAAGGTCGGCAGTTCGAATCCCTAGTACAGGTCTCCTGCGTGAGCAGGGGGTTGGACTAGATGACCTCCAAGGTCCCTTCCAACTCTGTTACTGTTATCCCACTTCTTTCCCAAGCTGGAGCAAGTCTTCCAATCTGCTGACCATTGTGTTATTCTCCAGGTTTACTGTCAAAATTTGGTTAGACTCTTGATCAAATCATCTTAAATTGCTTGCCTATCTATTTCAGTAGGTATTCTATCAGTTCTTGTAGCCTTCTGACATGATAATGGAGTGCTTATCTAACTTCATTTTCTAGTGATAGAGATTATTATAAGTAGGAAATATCTTCTAAGGTATCTTGAATGTTGACAATTCTACTGTCCAATGTTTTAATATACGTTTCTGATTTAGTTTGCTCTCCTTTGAACTGATTACTATCTATCCATTGATGTTTTTTAACAATTCAAGATTGGAACTCCTTTTGAACTCAGAAATCTTTTGAAAAACATCAGCCATCAATAGATACATAGACATTAACAACACCTATAGACTATGCAAAAGAGACAATCATCCCGCCCAAAGGAGAAAAAGACTCCAGCACTCAGTAATCAGCACTCAGATCAGCATAGATGATGTCACCTATTTAGGATATTGAAACTACTGCAAGAAAACAAACAAGCTCAGAGAGCATCAAGGATCCCACATTTCCTTGTTTTTCCATATCTGCTTCCCTCTTCAGTGTGTCTTTACAGATATTGTAATGCTGTTTCTTGTCTCTTCTAACAGCTCTCCAAAACTCCTTGTTAAGTTCCTTTCTGAGATTTTTGTTTTTCGTGACTTTGGCTTCTCTTTGTGGCAATTTCCATAGTTTGTTCTGACATCCAGTTTGTTTTATTCTCTTTATTTTTGTCAAATCTCTTTTCACATTCATCTTTAATGACTTCTTTAATTTCATTACACTTCATTTGGAGTTTTCTATCAATCAGGTTAAAGACTTCAGATTCCTGATGTTGTCCATGAAAATGGTGAATATATAGTATGTTCAAGTTCATATTGTGAAAACGGTCTAGCTCTCTTTTTTCTTTGTTAACTTGAACTTGCATATGACAAGTTCATGATTTGTTCCACAGTCAGCACCTCTCCAATTCTTTGATGTTATAATTGAGCTCCTCCACTTCCTTTTAGCAATAATATAATCAATGTGATTTTTACATATTCCGTCTAGTGATGTCCATGTATAGGGGATTGATTTAGTTGTTTGAAGACAGAATTCTATGATGAATTCACTAGAATGGCAGAAAACAATAAGTTAACCTCCTGCCTATTTCTGATTTCCAAAGCCAATACAACTACATTTTCTTCTTTAGTATTTCCAGTTTTGATATTCCAATCACAAGTAGCAAATTTTGCTTGCATGTTCTGTTGATTTCAAATCAAACCTGATCATAAAATTAATCCACCACCTCTTCTGGATTGTTGATTGGCTCATAAACTTAAATGATAATCATCTTAAAGAATTGTTCATGAAGTCTAACAGATGAAGTCTAACAGATATTCAGTAATTGATTGCATTGCAATGAAGTGCTATTCCTGTTGACCCCTCCTTAACTATAAAAGCAGTGCTATTCTTTGTTTTTTATGTCCTGACTAATAAATGAAAGGACTGAATGACTGAATAACTGAAAATGCCCAATCCATCTTGGTTTTCTGATGTCTGAGATGATTACATGTAGTCATTTAATCTTTTACATTGCTGAACTTTCCCATGTTCCTGTTTCTTATGTTCCATGTTCCCACCATTCCTTGCACCTTCCGATTTTCTTTTCATATATGGCAACATCAGCAACTAGATGTGGCTAGATTAAGCATGTTGGACATTTTAAACACCATCAATACTCTGAAAAATCCTCAGCTTTCTCAGTAGCATCTTGAGTGCCATCCAATCCAAGGCATCCATCATCTGGCACTATATCATCAATCATGTTATATTTTCTATCCATGTGCTTTTCTTGGTAAAAATGCAAGAGTGGTTTATTATTGCCTTCTCCCAAGCAGATGTCTTTGCCATTGTCACTATAGTGACCATCTGTTTCCAGTATCATCTTGTACTTTATTGCTGCAGGGCAGGAATGTGAAACGTTATGTTCTTATGAAATTTAATACAGACAATGGTATTAGGTTACAAAAAGCATTATATAGTTTTAGTCATTCTTTTTCTTTTAGTTTTTAAAAAGTCATGACAAGGATGGTTCCACATGGAAGGAAGAGCTTTCTAAAATAGCAACTGCTGAAACATTGATCAAAGTAAGTATTTAATTTCAGAATTTCTAAATACGAAGACACTTAAAATTTGAAAGTCCAGGGTTTACTCTTGGTGCTTGCATATCCCTATGTGGGACTCCCATATAAATACCTCTTGCAATCATGCATGTTTTCTTATAGTCAGACACAAAACTTGCTTTCTTTGTTACTCTGTAATTTTAATTATATCTTACTTTTTAAAGATACGTTAATAATCAAGCTCAGAGAGCACTAAGGACTCCTCAGATGTCCATTTTTCTTTAAAGGAGTACTGTACACTCACCACATTTACCACAGCACTGATTCTTTTATAAACTTAAGAAATTTATAATTTCTTTTATAAACTTAAGAAATTTTTTCTTATGCAGTTAGATCTAGATTTATAGATTAATATCATTCATGCCTAATCTAAATCCAGAACTAAAATGATAATGCTTAATGTTTGCAAAAGTAGAACGTGCTTCTTTGTACACCAGTGGCATTTTATTGATTTCATTGCTTACTTATAATTTGTTCAATTTTTTTAAGGACTCTTTGGCCATTTCTGATACTGAAGTTCCCTCTTCACCAAGTTTTGAATTTCCTGCGGACTGGAGCATTAAAACCCGTCTTCTAGTCACTTCTTCTCAGTCATTTGCATGGGCTGATCACTTAAAAGCTCAAGAAGAATCCCAAGGATATATCCAGCATTGTAGAGCAACATTAATAAACTTACCCCAAAGTATCCAGGTAGGTTATGCTTTTTAATGCTGTTGAAATAATGAATTGGAATCTGTAATCAATATAAGAGTCAATTCAAATTGCAAGTGGTTCACTTATTTTGAATTGAATGGCCAATGATATCTTTCTAATTCACCTCTACTATCTGTTTCTCAACGTTTAGAGCTATCTGGTGAACAAGATAATAAAATCTTAACACTACTATGTTTAATGGTGATGAATAAATTTCTCAATATTCTGTGAATCTGAGGGAGATGTCTTAAGGATGAGTTATCAGTGATATTCAGGAAGTTACATCATGCAGAAATATTCCTGTGTTTCAACAAATAGTATCAGTTCCTGGAATCATTAATATCTTTTTCTTAGTCAGTTGTTAATATATTCGCTTATGGAGGATTCAAACCATAATAATAGCAGACAGCTTTATACATTCTTGGAGAAAAAATAAGTATTGGGAACTATTTTAATTTGGATAGACTAGGTAGGGTAAGGGATTGAGTAAATCTTAGTTGCCATGATAAATTGTTTTGGGAAAGGGGTGATTCTCCTAATTTCTCAATATTTTTGGTACAGTGTTGTATTCTTTGTTGGTTCAGAGAACACTGCTCTTGCCTGCTCAGCGATTCTCAAAATGACTAATGCTCAGCTCTGTAGCAATTACCATACTTTTCGGAGTATAAGATGCACTTCCCCCCTCCCCCCAAAAAGGGTGGAAATGTTGGTGCGTCTTATACACCAAATACAGCCATTTTTGGCCTCCCGAAGCCCCGCCCTGCGTGTCCTGTTTTTGTGAAAAACGGACTCGTTTTTTGCAAAAACAGGGCTCGCAGAGGCTATGGGAGGCCTGCAGAGTGCTCCTGTGGCTTTGGGAGGCCTGCAGAGTGCTCCTGTGGGCCGGGGAGGGCAAAACCATTTTTTTCTTGTTTACCTTTTCAAAATCTTGGTGCGTCTTATACACCGGTCTTATACACTGCGTCTTATAGTCCGAAAGATATGATAAGTTATAGAATTCATCAAGACTCCAACCTATCTGGTTCTTTTTAACATCTACAGTATAGGTAGTTATTAGCATGTTGATTAGGAGCCAACATGTGATCAGTAGCTTGTTGATGGCCAGATCTTTTTCTCTGTATCATCTGAGTCATAAAAGACAATGTAGTTTTTTGAGTATTTGGACAAGAAATGAATCCTGACAAGATACTGCATTATGTTTACCTGGGATCTAGAGAGATTACCTATTTTGTATAAAGTTGCATACCCTCTGAAAACATAAGCGCACAATATAGCACTGCTCCAGAAGCCATTCAAAAATGGATTCTGTGATAAGGAGTTTCCCCACCATGCATTTTTGGGACAGTACAGATTTCTTATAGCAATAGACATACTGTTAACTTCACAATCACCACTGTAACATTTAGGTTAGCTCAGGTGATGCAGCCCTGTAGAATGCTGAATCTTCATAGAAAACTTATTTTGGGTAGATTACACTGTTTGGAAAGAACTGTACTAAGTGATAGTTTGCTGCCAAATGAAATTCAAAAATTATTTTATAACCATATAAAATCTACAATAGCGTAGATAACTTGATGGGTGACTTTGGGCCAGTTACTCTCTCTCAGTTCAATTCACCTCAAAAGGTTACTATTTTGGAGAACAAAAGTCGGGAAGAGTATATTAGGTATGTTTGGTACCTTAAGTTACCTATTAAGTAATAAAGGTAGGATAAAAATTGAATAAATAAATGCTGGGCTTGCACATCAGGAAAAAGAAGGTTCTATGCCAGTGATGGCAAACCTTTTAGGCACTGAGTGCCCAAACTGCATGTGCACACGTGCACAAACATGTGGACATGCACGTGTGCATGCGCGGACATGCACAGCAGAGACCCGAAGACCAGCTGGCCAGTGGGAGGTGGTGCATCCCAAACCAGCAGCGCAGCAAGAGGTAAGGACTTTTTCTTTCGTGAGCTTCTGTTTCGTCATTTGCAGGGAAACAGAAGCTCACGAAAGAAATGCCACGGAGATCTGACCTGGGGCGATGGCACGTGTGCCAGCAGAGAGGGCTCTGTTTGACATCTCTGGCATGCCTGCCATAGGTTCGCCATCACGGGGTTCTATATTATATATACATATTTCATATTAAAATAACATTTTGGAAATATTCCCTCCTAATTCAATTGCAGTTGGTATTAGCACACATACTTTTTTTAAAAACCAGCTAAGGTTCCATTTCTTCAGCTAGACTTTTAATTAAATCTATATTGCTATGTCTCCTTTTTTCCTGATTTATGATTATTGTGGTTACAATAAACTAGTAGTTTCTATATATTAAATAAATTGTTATCTAAAGTTAGTTTTACTAATATAAGGTATTTCATATAGTCATGTGTCTTAAAAGACACACAAATACTTTCATATACCTACAAGTATGAATAATTGCTGCCTTTATATTTTCATTCAGAAAATAGCTATTGTTAACTTCTCCCAATATGTTTTGATACACTGTAAGATATTTTGTCTTTGATATAAAATCTACTTATAAGGAATGTTCTGAATCATCATAAATAAAAACTACATAAAGGCTAAACTTTATAAAAATGCTTATTCTGCTTTGTATCCAGCTGTAGCTTTACAAGAAACATGGCAAAGCTTCCAAATTATTTTATTATGTCCCCTTATCAGGATAATTGGCATTTAAATACAAACCAGCTATTTAAACAAATTCTATTCTGTATAAGTAAATTGAAACTAAGGTAGAGTTGGTTGCAGATTATGGCATGGTGCAAAAATATTAAATATGTTAACTTTGTCTTATACCTTATAAACATTTATGGACTTAAACCAGAATACTAGGAATTGCTTTTTGATCCCTTGAAAAAGTGGGAAAATATCAGCTATTCTCTGTGTTTTATTACCTTAACTTTTCTAAAAATCTTTTTCCAGTTTTCCTATTTACTCTATAAATAACCTAAAAGTAGCCTTTTAAAAATGTTATTTTGATATTTAGGAGCCAAAACTTTCCACAGAACTTCGTTGCGCTTTCCAGCAAAATCTAATATATTGGCTTCATCCCTTCTTCCCATGGCTACCACTTTTTCCTCGAATTGGAGCTGACAGAAAAATGGTTGGAAAAAGTCATCCTTGTGCCTTTAATGAAGAACTCCAACAAATGTTCATGAGTGAATGGTATGTTGAAGTTCTTGGAAATATAAAAAGCTAAGCATAAATTCCATTTCTGAGAGTATTTTCAATAGGGATCTTTCTCCTAACCAAAATCTGCTTGGGTTCAGACACTTAGAGCAGAGCAATGCTGTGAGAGGAAAGAGGTATTTATTTTCCTAGTTCTTATGTTTTTTATACCTCTAAAAAAGCCGATCATTACTAACGTGGCTTTCTGTAAAAGGTAATTCTGTGATTCTTGTGCACACTTGTTACTATAACACATTCTATCGATGGCTGCCCTTGAAGAGCATTTGAAAACTTTGATGCAAAATAGGACTATATAAAATAAAAGATTAAAAAATAAATAAAAGAAGACAAAATTAGCCAGTGAGTCAATTCTTATTTTCTTCTAGCTTATTTGAATGATGTAAAAAAAGAACTGATACATAGGTTTTTTTGTTTTTTTTAAATGTTCCATATAACTGAAAAGAATCCAGATTAACATACAAAGTAGCATGAAAATTAGATAAAAACTCTGATTATTTGAATGAAATAAAGGAAGAATAACACTGGAATTATGAATTCAGGTGAAATAAAAGTGAAATTTGCATTATTGCTTAGGAATACATCAATGTGTCAGCTTAAAACAACTGGTTTAGGTTGTTTTGTTGTTCTATACCAGGAAGCAGATTATTCTGTTTGTTTGTTTCTTTAATTTGTAGGTCTCTCAGTTTTACCTCTCTTTATAACTTGTTGAGAGCCAAGCTGTGTCCCTATTTCTATGTTTGCACTTATCAATTCACTGTGCTGTTCCGTGCAGCAGGACTTGCTGGGAGTGATATGATCACTGCATTAATTTCTCCCACAACCAAAGGATTAAGGGAAGCCATGAAAAATGAAGGTAAAGAAAAGTTATGAACAAGGTAAAAATTCCTCTTGTCCATAACCAAGACATAAATCTTTTTTTTTTCTTTTCCTTTTTTTAGGTATTGAATTTGATTTACCATTTCAAGGAATTAAACAAAAAAATTTCAATGCTTCAGCTTCTCCTTTAGAAACAGAAGTTAAAAAAGATACTGAAAAGAAATTGAATGAAATTGAAGAGTATGTATAATTAGTGTTTACAGTGGCTTAATGTGCATTTCTCAGAACGATTAGTTCTTTTTCAGAAATTGGTAATTTACAAGTTCTTTTACCACATTTTGCTACTCAGAGAATTGGAAATGAGTGGTGGTGATGGTAGTGATGATGACGATGATGGAATTTTATGGCTGATGGAAATGGGAATTGAAGACAAAATTAAAAAACCAGACACAATTTCTACCAAATTGTATCCTTTTAAGAGTTAAAACATTTTCCTTTAATCAATGGTTGAATTTGCATTATATTAAATGCAGTCTAGGTAATGTGCAATCTGTATACAGAAGTACTGTAATGGCTGTTGCTCGGGTAGTCAAAATGGCAGTGATCATTTTTCAGTTGCGTCAAGTATCTGGGTGTTTGTTTGTTTGTTTAGCAATTTCCTTCCTCCACCCTTTCCCTTAGAACCTGAGGTTCTGTGTCATAGTTGTCCCATTTTTTCTTTCTTGATTTTCTCAATTTCTAGGAATTCATGACATAATTTTGTTAGTTTTTCAATAGTAAATTATTTTTTCTGGAAAGCTTTAAACTATATATGTTAAATAGTATATTTAAATATTGCAACTATTTCTATGGAAATCTTCACTTTTAGTTTGTAGAAACATTTGGAATTCTCCTATATAATAGCAAGGTTTGGTTTTATTATCCTTGCAAGCCTCCTTCCATTTTTCCAGGTTTGCAAAGATAATAAAAACATACTTAAATAACATTTATTTGGCTTATTATAATGCAACTCTTTCCCCACAGGTAAGTTCATATTAATCTACAATTACTATGTATGTTTGGATCTTCCTTAACTGTCTATGTAGCTGCAAAGAAAAAAATGAGATGAAATTGGATCACAGGCCTGAATCTGTAGTGTTAGTAAAAGGGACAAATACATTTACTTTGCTGAACTTCTTGATAAATTGTAAAAGTTTAGTGGCTTCTGCAGGTCCTCAGGCAGGCATCCCTCCAACATTGCTCTCCCCAGTTGCTTTTAGAGGCGCAACAATGCAGACACTCAAGGTAATAAATTATAATGAGATATATTATGATATGTAGTACACTACAATCTATTTTAAATACTGCGATATAGTATACACTGTCCAATTTTGGAGAAGAAAGGTAAGTTAGGATGGGTGAGTGATGTATCTATCACTCACCAGAAGCTTCTGAATGAATATTTATTCTGGCAAAAATAAGGGATAAAGTTGATTCTCACCAATTAATATCTCTTTCTCTGCTATCCCATTCACTATCTGAAAATCTGCTTAGGTTAGTTGGGAGACCTTTCAGAATTATGTAAGAAGGGACTAAAGGGAAGAATAGCCAAATACTGGTTTTTCCCAAACTGTTTTGTAAAATGTCCTCTCTGAAAGCTCTGGCATAGGAAAATGCAGGATCCAAATAATTAAATATAACCCTTAGAAAGAGTACATTATATTAATAGGATATTGCTCCTGATACGCATTTTGCTCTATTCAGCTACAAAACTGTCTCCTTTCCAGTTCTTAATTCAAGATAAAAAATTAATTCATACAGGGGCTTCTCACTTAACAATCATTCGTTATGCAACTGTTTGAAGTTACAACATTGGGGAACAAGTTGAATTTACGAGCAGTCCTCAAAATTATAGCCTTTGCAGCACCACTACGGTCACATGGTTGCAATGTGCTTGGCGATCAGCCTTCATAATATGGCAGTGTCCTACCGTCACGATTGCCACATGCAACTTTCCCTGCTGGCTTCCCACAAAATCAGTAGGAAAGGTGGCAGGAAGCTGCACACCTTTGGAAATGTCCAGGCTGTCCTCCTTTTTCCAGTTGTCCTTCTTTTTCATTGTCAATCTGCTGATGATCCAAACGAAGCAGCAGAGGATTAGAAGGCAGTGGAGAGGGTGATGGGGGGGGAAATCATCCTGCCCCACCACTTTCTTACACGCTGCCATCCCAAGACCCTGCCTGGAATTAAGCTTGTTGCTGTGGGAAAATGGCTTGGAGTGGTTCCGACAAGTGCACAAGGCTTTCAGGGTCTGTGTCAGTCTGGAAAGTACTGCATGAAGAGCTGCCAGACACTTGCCAGCCACCTATGCAATTGGGCTTAGGAAGAGCTGGCGGGAAGCCTCCTTCCCTGCCCTTGGGCCCATCTGGATTGGGATTCATGCCCCCAACTCCCCACCCCCTGTGGCCACAGGATGCATGGGGGAGTGCCTGTCTGAAGCCGTTTTGCTCTCCTCTGCATTCCTCTGAGCTTTCCTGGGAGTTGATAAGGTTTGCTCCAAAGAGGGGCTTTCTGTTCTGCGGAATTTGGGCAGCCAGCTGAGCCTGTAACATTCTTGTTTAATGATGACAATTGCTAAAACTGCCATCGTGACTCGGCAGTCATATTTTTTCACTTTATGACCAGATCTGTTAGCAACTGAGTTGCCCGCCCCAATTACTGTCTTTAAGCAAGAATCACCATTATTTTAGAAATGGCAAGTTGTCCTCTACTCACTTGGCAATTTGTTTCAAACAGTTACTGAAATTATCTCTGTTTATTCAAGTACTTACAATTTAATATAAAACTGCAGGGGTTTTTAGAACTTAAAAGGAACACAGTGTTTTCTAGCACCAATTTGGAAGATGTAGATCTGAAATGTAAATGTATTTATTTTTCACATTTTTGAACCACCCATCTCTCAAAGAGGGACTGAGCTCTAGTTGCTTGGTGACTTGGCTTTTATACATTGGTTCCTACTATTGCTCATCCACGTTACTCTAATTGGTATGCTCAGTTGTAGACCGCTGCTATTTTTGGTGTAGATAGTAACCTTGCCTTAGATGGCTTAATCATCCATCTTTGAGCACAGAGCTTTTTAACCAATGTCTCAAATACCAATTGCCCATGGTAACATTCCTTTAGTAATAGGAGCAAGTATAAATTGCAATTAAGGATTTTTTCTTCCTCTTTCCTAGGCCCGAAGTATAAATGTCAGAACACAAGCCCATTCGCATTATAAAGATCTATTTAGCTTGGAGATTGTGGGACCTATAATGCCCCATTGTCTCCATTCTTTGTCCATGCTACTAAAATCTGCTCAAAATGGAACTTTCTCCGCTATATGTTATACTCATGAACCAACAGCTGTGTTCAACACAGGTATCAGCAATAAGCAGCATATGAAGGTAAACTAATACATGTATTTATCCCAGTAAGGGGGGGGGCATTTATGAGAGTTGCCAAAAAATACAACTAGTAAATAACATGCTAATAAGCTTTCCTCATGTAGTTAGAAGAGCCACAACTTTGTATACACTGCAGGACAGGCAGAGTAAAAAACTATACTGTCAGTACACCAAACTGACAATATAGCTGGTTGTAAATAAAAGGCCATACTTCATCTGGACGAAGCAGGTTTATGTAAACTGTTCATACATTATTATAAAAATATGGTTAAAATTTGTATTTTTCTCCATAGATTTGTATATTTTTGATATAAAGCCATAGATTGGGGATTGCCTTATTTTTCATTGTACTACAATATAAACGTTTCTAATACCTGACTTTTGAACGGGCTGTTGTTTTATTCCATTGTTAATTGTTTTTGTTTATCCCATTTTTTCACAGGAATCTTGTATCAAAGAACTTTCCAATTGTGGATTGCATCCTAACACTTTAAGTCAACTTGCTCTTAATTCAACACTAGGAAAATCTTCAATACGGCTCCTAGACATGAGTGATTATCTCTACACATGGAAAACCTAAGCAACTAAATGATAATTTAAAACGGCTTACCAGGAACACTTCCTTGTGCACAATGATCAATTTTATTCATTGACTTTTGTATATAGTCCTTATATAACCGCTTTATTTTTCTTAAACTTGTAATATCTGAAGTATATTTTTAAATTAAACTTTAAGAATTGACATAATTGTGTGGATCTAAGGAAGAGAGTTGGGTGAGGAAAAAATATTGCAATACTCCCTTCTACTGTCCATGGCTTTTTCCTTTATTATATATGTCACACTTCTTAAAACAATTGCTGAGGCCTTCAGAGTATCCATACTGCATTATACTAATAGTAGTTTTAAGTAGATTACCCTTCAGTAAGTGGCTACTATTAAATGGACTAGAAAGGCACCAAAGCTTGCAGCATTATTTCAGAAATGAAATAGTAAAAATGATAATTTCATATTTTACGTAGTACTGCCAAAAATCTCTGGGATGGAAAGGGTTTTTTAAAAAAACATTAATTTTAGTTGTTACATGTTCTTGCAATATCTTGAATGAGCTGTGAACAAAACACAGAATTTGTTCTGTAAACTAGAATGAATGTCCAAATAAGCAAAGCATGTTATGGTCAGACACTCATTCCCTATGGAGGAATTCAGGTGCTCAGCTAGCAAAAAGCTACACAATACTTCTGTTAATAGCTAACAGTTGCATAGTAATTCAGGATTACTTGGGGATTTCTGGATCTAAACTAATCTCTATTCATTTTGAGATTAAATAGTGGAAAACTAATTTTCAAATGTGGCTATCGGATAGACATATAGTGATAAATATAGTCATGATTTCACCTTCTGCCATATAATATCAACCTTTAATTAAAGGCCAACTAGAAAATAGTTCCAACTTGCTCTTAGCCGTATCTGTCCTTGGAAATATTCCCAATCAGAATACCTCAATAATACGATTCTTTAGGTTTAAAAAACCCTATTAAATTATAAAGCCTAAATTATTTAGTTTTTGTATTTTATATTATAACAAAATTGCAAATCACTACTAAGGACTCTTGTTCCAGTGATCAAAATGTACATTATAATATGGCTGGTAAATAAAATGAAGTTATACAGCTTTATTTGACCAAGCGGAATACAACAACAATAGCATCATACATCCTCATCCAATTATCGCTGAATTATTTGTTTACTACAAATGTGTATAATCAACACCAGGTATTGTGTATGAAATTAATTACAATTTCCTGCTTCTTTTACGAAAACATGCAGACATTTCATGTAACAATTCTTATGAGTTCTGATTTATGTTCCCTTTGCATTTGGAGGCATTGTTCTTATACAATCATTTTCATATAACATTCTGATAGAGAAATATTATCTAGCAAAGTTGTTGGATTTTGCTTTGATTAAAAATTATTGAATTTTTGGGTCCAATAATTATCTAGTAGTTGTAGGTTTAAAAGACTACATAGTTTTAAATAAGCATAACTGAACTTTTCCAAAACTATGGGAACTGCATCATACTACAAAACTGTAAACTACCGTATTTATACTGAAGATAAAGCTAAAGTATTAAAGCAAATTACAGATACTTTCAGACTCACATTAGATGTTTAGTAATTTAAGAAATGGTGGCATGACTGAGATCAATAATATACATAACTAAATGAATTAAATATATTTGCTGGTACAAAAGAAAAGCCTGAAGGTGTCTGTACAGTTTTTACAATAAGATGCTGATGTATTTACAAAAGCAGAACAAAATACCTGTTATACAGAATAGAAATGTTTGAAATGTTAAAAACAATAGTTTAGTTGTGTGAGGCACTCCTGAAGTTAGTGGTGTTTGCCAAGAGCTCCTTTGGTACTAGTCCCAATGCTTGGAGAGCCACAGTGGCTGCTGTGGCTTTAGCATGCTTCTTGTTTGGGCTGACAAAACTAGGTTTATGTTCAACTCCATTGACCATCACCTATGAGGCAACAAAGAAAGGAAAAAAATAAAGCTGAATATATCTTTCTTCCCTTTTTTTATTGAAAAAAAAAAGTAGGAACACCACCCTATTCTTTACAATATTCAGATGTCATCTACAAATATGACATATTTTGGGAGAAAAGAGAATGCCAATTTATTTTTTGACTGAGGCTCAAAGACTGATCACACAAATTAAATAAAAATTAATAGCTCTGAAGCAATAAACATGCTTTCGTTGGGTTAAGAGTTTTCACTGGTAGAATGACTTCATTTGAGAAGTTTTCTTCAATCAGGAAGGAACCCTTGGACCAAAACCTTTCTCTTTAGATGGCAAAATTCAACCTATCTGATGTCTCTATATTTTTCATTTTATCCTAGTTTGAAAAATTAAAGGGAAGATAAGCTGTTAATGATTATTTCTTGCTAGGTTGCTGAGGTAACTTATGACAACATTCTTACTTTCTGCACCCAGTGAATGGCAAATCAAAGAAATAACACTCTCAAATTAGGAAGCTGTAAGGAACTCACTGAATTCTAACATCACAAAAGCAGAGACCCATCCATTAAAGGACCCTTTACTGTATTTTACCTTTCATGTATTACAAAAGCATTTTTATATATATTATAATTAAATTTTACCTTAAATAAGAAATGTTTGCGATATTCAGGACGATTATCATTCACCAGTACAAATACAGGCGGAGACCATCTTCTTTTATTACAGACTTCCAGCAAAGCTGATACTGGATGTTTGCCTTAACAAGAAAAAACATTTTTAAAACTCTTCCAGGTACACAAGGAAGACTGCTATATTTTTATACAAACTGTTTTTTTTTTACTCTAATCAGAACAACTGGTGGGATCATTTCTCTCCTCAAATGCAGAACACATATCAGTTACCCCAAATCTTACCTGAAAGATCTTTCCCTGTACTAAAAGGCCCATGTCTCTTTTGTGTTTTCTCTCCCACAGCAACTAAGCCTTGGGGAAAAAAAAGATAGAATTAAATTTGCTGTGTGCTCATTTCTTTCCTAATGCACTTGGCATTTAGTAACATTTCTATATTAGGATCACACCTTTTAAGCCAAGAAGTGTAAATGGAGAAACACTACTAACACTTGCAAAAAGAAAAATGCCATTTCCAATCATCACCCACACCAGTTTAACCAATAAACTCAAATCACCACAATGCCTTAACCATTTTTTCTCATATGCAAGTAATTTTAATTTCCATTACGCTTCTGATTCATTAACAATTATCCATAGTGCATTCTTACATGACCTGTGTAGCTCAAGAGATTCCTTTTCAGGAATCTACTTTCATCTGGTTAACATCTATACCACAATGTCAGAGTGCAGAAAGCGTTAACAAAAAATTACTGGTATATTTAATGTATCTTCTGTTTCCAAAACTCTATGCTCAAAATACTATTTGGGTATATACACGTACATATGTATAGTTAAAAGATATTATCTGAATATTTAGTATTCCAAAGGCAGCTTAGGTTTTTAATAAATAAAATATGACAATCCAAAACCAAAAAAATTAAAATTTTAAATTAACTAAATTATGAAATTACACTGGTACCTTGCTACTCATTAATTAGTACCAGGAGGCAGGATGGGAACCAAAAATGAGCACCAAACAAATATTTCCCATAAGGAATAATGTAGTGAGTCACAAGGGAGACAACAACAAGATGTTCTAGGAGCCATGGTGGCGCTGTGGTTAGAATAGTACTGCAGGCTACTTCTGATGACTATCAGTTGCCAGCAGTTCGAGTCTCACTGGCTCAAGGTTGACTCAGCCTTCCATCCTTCTGAGGTCAGTAAACTGAGGACCCAGATTGTTGGGGAAAATATGCTGAATCTGTAAACTACTTAGAGGGGACTGTAAAGCATTGTGAAGCGTCTGTGATAAGTCTAAGTGTTATTGCAATTGTAGTATAGCCTAATTGTCATTGTATACTATGAATACAACGAAATTGTGTGTTGAGTACCAAACAATGAGTACCGGGGCAAAACTTTCATGTCAAAATGCACTGAATACCAAATTTGATGAGTTTCAACGCAGTTGAGTACCATGGTATCATTGTACTTTATGAATAAAATTATTGAGATCATAACATACATCACTTATAAAGCCTACACAGTTCAGGGCCAGTTAAATATTTAACTTCTTATCTCAAATTGTCTCTGCTTTCCCCACTAAAAGCAACAGAATTGCTCCAAGTCCCATCTATTCAACAGGATTATCCTGCAGGACCTTGTACCTTGTTCCTGAGCCTGCCCTGTGGAATAGCACTCTCTTGGAATCCAAATCACTCAAATTCTCTTGGACTTCTGCAATGGATCAATGACTTGAATATTCCCATTAGCATTTGGGCCAGTTTAAGCTTGAAGCAGAATTTTTTTCCCTAGGCATGTGTATAGAGTATGGTCTAATACCACATACGCACATTGTGTGTGTGTGTGTGTGTGTGTGTGTGTGTGTGTGTGTGTGTGTGTGTGATTACCGTGTTTCCCTGAAAATAAGACCCTGTCATATTTTTTTGAACCCTGAAATAAGTGCTTGGCCTTATTGCCATGCGCTCAAAAGCCCGATTGGACTTATTATCAGGGGATATCTTATTTTGGGGGAAACTGTACCAGAAATATAAAAATGTAAGACAACACAAAGCATAGAAAAATGTATACATTTGTAAAGTCATAAAATTAGGAGAGTATTTTTCTACAACAGTAATGGTAGCTAAAATAAAATTTTACAATATTTCTGGAAATCTTAGGTTTCTGGTCAGACACACAAATGTAGCAGCCTATCTTTGAGCAGGCAAGAATCCCTGGTCTCATACCAATGATTGTTATAGGCACCACAGTAATTGTCAGTAAACTACTTAATACAGTTTAGGACACTAACTGTAACCTATATGAGCTTTTTGTGGTTTGTCATGTATGCACTCTCAAACTGGGTTCAGCCAATCCATCCAATTCATGCTTCCTGAACAGAGATTATGAAGTTCTCCTACCCCAAAGTAAGAACTGGGGACAGAGGACCAGGATTTTTTTTTTCGCTGTATGCTCCCCAGGTAAATATTTATCCCTGGAAAATTGTATGGCATTCTCCTGGGTGGGTTTTAGAAAAATCAAGACATAATTGTTTCAAAGAGCAGTTGATTGTTCATATTAGAACTGTAAACTGAACTGGACACTCACCTTTCCGATCCGTTTTAAAATCAACTAAAATAGGCTCCTTGTTTCCTTCTTTGTTTTTTCCCAAGCCCTCTCCTTCTCTCCATCCCATCTTTCTCATGAGTTGGGCTCCCATTCCTCCACTAACAGGGGCAGCTCTGAGAAACTGATCCTACCCAAGCGGGAAAAAAAGGGAAGAAAAAACACCTTTGTTTAACACACTTTTAGAAAAATTGTAGACTTTTCTAATATTTTCAGCAATGAGTTCATTTGTTTCAACTTATTTTTCAGTTACAATTCAACTCAGGCTTCAACATATATGCATATCCTTCTAGAAAACTTCAATGGATTGTTTCAAATTAAAAGTATAATTAAAACAAGCAAAAACGTATTTGATATACTACTTACTGAGTAAAACATACTCCTTTACCAATTACATTTTCAGAAACAATCTGGGTCTTTGAAAACCAATTCCCTCACAAAACTCCTCATGCATGATAGAAGCATCTTTAAAAGAAAAAAGCTTAGCCATACAGTTCAACAGTAACACGGGACAAATGTTTTGAAAACCTTAAAAATCATACTATTAGTGAGAGTATATCAACTGTACTAAAATGCTTTCTGCTTTATAGTTCTTTAAAAACTCCTTAAACGTTTACGTACCTAGGCCTCGATGGCTGCAGTGTTGTGAATAGTAGGGCTGGCATTGACCGTGGCAAGAAGGCAGCTACAAGGCAGATTTGGCCCTGAAACAAGTTTCCATATAGAGGGGTGAAAGTTCACAGGCTATTCTGTGAACTATCATCTCTCTTTCTGCCCCACCCAAGGACCCAACACAACAAACTGCTTGTGTAGATGTATGTATATATACACACACAAACATATAAGTACATACATATATTTATGTGTCTGTGTGTGTAGTATTAGCACATCATTTTTAAAACTTAACATACCAACTATACATAGAAACCCCTCTGCTTTCAGTCTACATTTCAATGACTGAAAATAGGCACTGAAAGCGAACTGAGTGTACAGTAAATAGGTTTGTTCTTCAGCACAGAAAATTATGACATACGCACACACTGCAATACTAATCTCTGTATCCCTGTTAAGAAAGCAAACTGTAGTGTTTCCAATAACATATGTAAAATGAGTTCCTCAAGTATTAAATCAGCCCATATAATACAATTAAATAGATGTCTGTATTCCATGCAAATGAACTTTACTTTGGAAAAAGTGTTTCTTATGTAAGAAAAGGCTAAATGAGGCAGACATTACCTCTCACAGAAACAGTTTGACTGGTGCAAGCCATGCAGTTTGTGTACACAGAAACATGTTAGCTGATGCCAGTTACCAACTGCTTCGAGTTGATACACCTCTAGAATGGCTTTTACTTACTTCCATTTTCATCCTCCCCTCTCCTTTCCACGAACCTCTCATTAGAAAAGGGCAACCATGCAGAGTATGATACAAACCCCAGTCAATGTCACCCAGGGCTCCGACTCCTCTTTTGTACCTGCTTTGCAATGATAGAATGTTCATCAACAATGTCCGTTTCATCACCAATGTGTATCCAGTTCACAAAAATGCCAGGAACCTATTGTTTCAGGAAGGTCTTTGAGGTTGCAAGAATTTATCAGAAACTGTCCTAATTATTGGGGGCAAAATAAAAAGAAGCCTTTTTGTTTGAAACGCAGGTGAGCACAATCCTAAATAAGTCTTTTTTTTTTCCTCCTACGAAGATGAAATATAACATGGGGTGTTTTTTTTAAAGTACAGTTTTTGTTTAAAGTACTGAAGTACAGTACAACATTTTTGAAGTACTGTTTTCTAATTGCGCATCAAGTTGATTATAACACTATGTTCACAGGTTATCCAGTTGCAGAATTCAATGATAGAATCCAAAAGAAAACATGTGCCAAAGTCCAGTGGAAAAAGAACAGTTTTTGTCTAAAATCCCCATATCCTTTTTATCTGTAAATAAGTACTGGAATCAATGCTTAATTAGGTGCTGAAGTTTATGGTTTCTAAGCGGAATCTTAATATTTCTTCTGTTGTTCTTGGATTGCACATTACAACTCCTTGTCAAACACTCCAGGCATTTTAATTCATGAGGTATGGATTATTCCCACAAGCCTTTATATCCCTGCAAATTACATCTAACAGTCGTTGATGTCAAATACAACAACACTCTGATTCATCTACATGAGAAAATTATATGAGCTATTTCCGGCCTCACATCCTCCAGATACTTTAAACAAGGCCTGTCTATTCCAGCTTGCACGTATCTTGCTCTGGAAACCACTTGGCTAGTAAAAACTAGCTAAAATAAAACGCCTGTTAAGTATATACATTTAATATTTTATTTACAATGCTAAACAATCACTATCAGAAAGTACTTGAAATAACATTACATGGTGACTATGTTATTTCATAGTACGGAGGAACTAAATCTACAATATTATTAATATATTTTTCCAGTACAAAGGTACAATAAGTCAAGATTGGTTATTATTGAAATAGACAACTATAAAGTCAACAAATGATATGGGAAACATGTAAAAGTTTTTAAATTTTGAATTATTTGTTTTGCTCTGACTCTACATTGCTTCTATGACAATTTGTCCTTTGTGATTCTTTAAATCTCTCTATATTAAACAAGACTTAGTGAAGTAGAAAATTTCTTGTCGCTAGTTAGGGCAAGCCATTTCTTGTTCCTATTGTAAAAAAATGCTGACAGATCTACAAATTAATTTACAGGACGAGCAAATGAAATCTAATAAAAGCACCTAGCAGTAAGAACGCCTGACAGAGTAAGTATTCAACACCACTGTAATGGAAAAAAAAATGATATTCAAACTGGTGCAGGGATAGTTAGGAACGAAAGAGGTAAGAAATCACAATTTACCAGATTCATTCAATGCCAAGAAAAGCCCACACAAATGGGAACGCCAAGACCCAATCCTGGGTGCAAGGGTGAATACCTATAAGAAAAACACAGAACGGACTACAGTGAGCAGACCATGTCTGCCACTGACTATTTCTGCAAAGTTTGTAATTACTTCAGAAATGAAACTTCACTTAAACCAATGTTAAGTATTTAAAGAATATTGTTACCAAATCAATATTTCTCACATACAGTAAACAACATTTCTTATGGCCATATGTAAGAGACAGTGGTGTTCATGATTTTTACTTCTAAATGGAAACAAATATGATTGGGGAATGGGGACAGTGAAGTTGTTAGAGTTGCCTTTATATCTATACTTACAGCTATGAAGTAACAGCATTATGCTAAAGAAGGAGCAATAATAAAATGAGGGGAGAAGTAATGTGGATGGACACTGCAGCTAAATTGATATCACAAAAACTCACATTCACTGCTATGTGTGCTTATGTATGTATGTGCAAAGTATTTTATTATATTTGAAATACAGAATATCAAGGCTACTAAGATGATAAAGGGCTACAAAAATATAGAAAAAGGAATTGCAAATGGAACTGAAATTCTAATTTCCAATTACTGAAAATATATCTAACTCCATTCTCTTATCTGGGTTTGGGCAGACAATCCATGTTTTTTTTCTAATCTGCATTCTGTAGCCACAGTGTCCACAACATCAGGAATATATCATTGAAAAATACTTCCAAAGTGCCAAAAGGCAGTTCACATGCTTCTAAATTTTTTTCTATAGAGACAAGAAGCCTTGCTCGGAAGCATATTAATGACAGAAATCAGATCATTACTTCCATGACAGAACATATTAGCCCTTAGATGAAATCACTAATTACGTTCTTGTCTGTTTTTAAGTTGCAGGTAAACTAAAGTGTATGTTTATCATTACAGAGATCTAATATAGCAGTATCATCAGACGTTGGTTTAAGCTCCTAAAATGATCCAAAATCAGCAGTTTTCCAACCTCTGCAAAAATTGGAGAAATCTATATACCAATCCTGTTCTTAAGTGCCCCCTCCCCAATTGTTTTTTTATTACACAAATGCTTACTTTGTTGGAAGATCTTGCATTGCTTTCAGGAGAGAGTAATATTGGCAGACACTGATTTCTGAAGTAAGGGAAGATTATTGTTATAGCATACCATTATGCTTTCTCCTATACATTTTTCACCTGGGAATTCCTGGTCGGGTTTCCTGTTCATTGTAGCAATCGTGTAAGATCAGCGCTGTCAGTCCCTCCAGATGAAATCTAGGTCCTCCTGAAGGGGGACAGAGTACTGGGACAGGGGAAGCTTCAGAAGAGCACAGCATTCAGAATATCCAAGGAACTCAACTTCCAAAAAACTCGCTTTATTCTACTTCAGCACTCAACCTGGTAATAATTCCTTAAAACACCAATCACTACTAGTTCTCCTAGATCTATCATGCTTATCCCATTTTCCTTCACAAGAACATTTTCTTGGTTGGTGAAAAAAGTATTCCGACTTTTCTTTTTGGAGTAGGAAATAACTGACAATATGAATTTGGTTACCATTATAAACTAAAAGACTATTTTTCATAGTAATATATGGGACACAGTCTGAAAATCAAGCAAGATTTCATTTCATTTGTTATTAAGGCTGTGCTCCTAAACACACTTACTTATTGAGTGAATCTGAAAAATATGGTGGAAAAAGGACTGCTATTTGAGATACCAATCTTTACTGGGCAATTAGTATTGTTTTCTTTCTATTTTGGCCTAATATTTAACAAATAACCTCTTCAAGAAATCACCATGTATGTGATTCAAAAAGCAAATAAATACAGTAAGCCTAAAAAGAAATGTGTTGCACATGTACTGTGAAGAATTTAATATTTTTGTATTTGTGAACTGATTACATCATTGATGATAATGCAAACAGACTAAAGTTGTTCTTTCTTCAAAGATATCAAAAACCCTAATACCCAAACATTTTAAATTACATTGCTTAAAATTCAAGCAAATAAATACACAAATTGCTTTTTTAAAAGTGGCTTGCTTTCTACAACATAAAGCACATTAACAAACATAACCCTCAGCGTATCCTTCTCTTATTTTTAAGTGATACTCAAATTTCAATGTCAGTTTTTTAAAAAGCTTGATACAATGTAGACTTAACATTTCATTTCTCAGAAAAATTTTACCAGTCATCTGACATATCCAACTACTGTTCTTTTAAGAAAATGGGGAATATTTATTATATGTAATAACAGGGAATTAATTTGTTTTTCATATGATTTCACTTGCAAAGAAATTAATAGCTCAATCATATGCAACATTCAAGTCCTACTGAGTGTCAATTTGCAAGAAAGAACGCTTATCATGGCAACTGAACTTAAATGTTGTAAGAAAGACTTTTCATTCAGGAATTCTGTATGCATATAGACTGTATGTAACATTTTGTATAGATTTTGCCATCTTTCTTACTTCATTCAAGAAACCAACATTTTCTGGGAATACAATTGAAAACTCTCACATAAAAAATATTTAGGAATATTATACACTTAACAAAATCTAAAATTTACTGCTTCAAGGTGCTTTTGATTTGCCTATTCATTGGGAAAAAAAATAATCATTCTCACAAGGAGACAGCTCCAATAACAGAGTAACGTCTTATATACATAGCCCTCTAAATTTGGGTGAAAATGTGAGACATACAATACCATAGAGAGTTAAAAAGCTCAACAGTCTTATCTCATAAATCTCTGAGAAATTTTCTACCCAACTATCTTCATACCAAAGGTGATAGAAATCACACAATGCAAACTACATCAATTCACAAACAGAACTGCAAGAGCTTCCTCTCTATTTGTACACCCAACGAACACTTTTTATAAAAAAAAAAAGTACCAGTAACATGCTACCTACTCTATGTATCAGGCCTCCAATGACTATTCTCAAGTAGTGAATAATTGCCTGAGACTTGTAGGAGGTTAAGGAAAAAAGCAATATTATATGTGATTCCCCTTACAGACTCTATTATAAAAGAGAGATTTATAATCCAAAGCATATAATATAAATATTATTATAGGTATAAGAGACCTGAACAAAATGCTTGGGATTAAGAAAATTAAATTTCTCCTATATTAGAATCCTAAAAACAGAAGCAGCTACATGTACACTACGTACATTAATTTCAAAGCTTCAGCCTTCTGTGAAGAATGGCTATGTGAGCAGTCTTCAGCAGTCAACAATTTGAAATAGCTGGGTAAAGCTATTTAAGTAGTTACTGCTTAAAAAAAAGATATGCCCCTAGATGTGTCACTCAGGCATCTTGTGAAAAACAAGGAAAAAGGTTATTGCAAAATCTTCTGGGACATCCCGATTCAAGATTTTTCCATTTTTTCAGATTTCCTTAAAATTAGCAGGTACCAATTAGATACTCTGCCAATTATATTATAGAAAGTATGGCCTTTTTTGTGAACTGTACATGGGTGCTGAATACCAGACATATAATGGAAGTGAACTTTTTTGTTAAAATGGCTGCTGTAAGTTAATAATTACCAACAATTCTCCACTTTTATTTCATAGAGAAAACCCTTTCATGAGGAAATATTTACATATAGTGTATTTACAGTATTTCCCATATATTTTAATTACAAAAGTGTAAAAGTATATATAATACATTTTATCAACAAAACACAAATATAAAACTCTGGTTACTGTATCTAAATGCACTGATTCATCTACAATGCTTTTAAAAAACAAGCAGGCTCCAACTAACAGGGCTTTGAAAAAAGCCAATCAGAATTAGACAATCATAAAATTAACTGATAGATCAGCGAGCATGACAAATATATAAATAATTGTTTATTCAGACTGTAAAAATGTACTTGCCAAGCATATAATCCCACTATATAAGGGTCTTTTGAACTTTCCAAAACTGTAAATTCTCAAACGATAGTTCCTACAAACTTAAAAGCACCTTTATGATTTCAGCTATAGAAACAGCAGATGCAACAGAGCGTGAGCGGACCAGGATCGGTCATATAAAACTCAACTGCAAAAACTATCCAAACAGTCTTTATTTTCATTATCTTTGCATTATTTCTGAACAACTAATAAATGCAAATAAATGTGTGTTAGCTCTGCCACTGCCCTATTAATATGCACAATCATATTCTGCAGACAAAGAAAAAAAAACCCTCTCCTCAATTTATAAAGACTACCTGTCTACTTTCATCAACATGTCTCCTACTGAGGTCCCCATCAAGTATGGCCATTGTTCTTAGGATTTAATAAAGATAATGATAATAACTTCTTAATGTTGCCTTTGCAATCTAGAAAATCCTAGAATCTTCTCCTAAGAGCCAAGAATACTGTTAGTTCAGGCCAGAGTTAGGCAAACTCCACTTTCAAAGATGTGCACAACAGAAGCAAGCAAGTGAATTTTTACAGCCATATTGACCATTGAGTGAGTTCCTATCCAAATTGTACTGAAATCAGAATCAAGACTAAGCTTAAACTAATAGAAAAGCCCATAGAATTGGAACCACATTTCAAGACAATTTCAGCACAAAATAACAGTAACCCTAGGAGAAATTAAAACAGTTATTTCTAAACAGGTGAGCACATATCAGTCTCCCAGTTTCTAAAGTCCGCCTATCAAACCAGTACTAACAGAGCTATTAAGCAGTGTAAATACAGAATTCAAAACACATCGTGACAAAACACAAAAATAAATGCTTTTAATTTATTTTTCTGCATATATTTTAGGATGTTATTACTGTCCTAAGAGTATCAGTATCACTTCTTCCAGTGATTTCAAAGGAATTTAAAATGTGACATTTGGACTCATCTGTCTGAGTATCATCTACCTTTTTAACCCACGCTTGGGGACCGCTGTTGGATAACTGTTCAGAAGTCAAGACCTGTGCTCCAGTACTGCCTGTAAAATGGCCTGGTATAGAATTCAGCTCAGCCCAGGCATCAATCTGCAATTACAAAGGAACATAGTAATTAATTAAAACATTTCCAAACATTAAGAATATATCAAAATAACGTCCTTGTTATAGTGCTTCTTGCTATATCAATTTAAAACTTGGTACATTTCATTTCAAAAACAATTTAAAATAATACTTTCTTGAAAACATCTCCAAGTGTTACCATTATTTCAGTATTTAAATGTTAAGTTATGGCTATTTGAAGAGCAATAGAACCATATTCTTTTCTAAGGGGGAAAAAATCCTTCAGAACTTTTGGAAACCTGCAGAAGATTCACTCTTTATTTTGACATAAACCTTACTCTGTACCTTAGAGTGTGACACTATCTTATTATTTCCTAAGGCTTTTGACTAGCTATGCTACAATACAGGTAGTCCTTGATTTACAGCCACAATTGAGCCCAAAATTTCTGTTGTTAAGTGAGACATTTGTTAAGTGAGTTTTGCCCCATTTTACGACCTTTAAACCAGGAAAGGCTCAATAATGACTAGGAAGTACAGTACAGATGTGTAGTTTAATATATGTATGGGGAAAAAAATACTCATGGTATTAGGGAGGCACAAGTTTAAGAAATGAATCTGCATTTTGCATGCAGATGATACTATCTTATTTTCTGAGAACCAAATTATGTATACCAAATGTCAGCTATACCATATGATGCAATTAAGAGCACATATCCAAGAATTAATGTTTTGAAAGCCAAGGTATTAGTATTTAACAAAGAAAATAGAGTAAATGACTGCACATTATACATAAATGGTGGAGAATGGGAGAAAAAGTTTGAAACTTGATAAACTGCTAACTGAGGAGGAAAAAATTGATAGCGAAATTTTAAAATGTATAAAAATAGGAAGAAAGGTAATGGATTGTATGAATCTTGCTGCACAAAATGAATAGAAGTGAAATTGCTGCATATTAGTCTGCAGCTTACCACTTCATTAATCAGAAGTTAGAGTTTGGTGTATCAGGAGAAACATAAAAATTGAATGCAGTGGGAATGTGTTATTTAAAAAGTTTGTGTAGTAAAAAAATAAATAGTGTTAAGAATGAATGGCATGTGAATATGGATTTAATTCACAATTGATTGAACAGTATAAAAGAGATATAGGTGATTTGGTCATGTAGAAATAATGTATAAGAATTGAAATGCAAAACAAACAAGTGAAGCAAGAATTGGAAAGGAGGAGAAGATCAAGGAAACTGACATTGGATTCAGTAAGATCTTCAAAGAAGTGAGAAGTTTAAAAAAAAAATTGAATCAGTATATTTATATGGGCAAAGAAAAGAGTTTTCCAAAATGAAAGACATGGAGAGTTAGAGAAAAATGTAGATGTAGATATAAATTAGATTTCATCTCCTTTCAATTTTGCTTACTATTTTTCCCACCGCTTTTGTTTTGCTTATCACTCATCCTAAGGAAACAATTCAATGCGTATGCATGTATGGGAACATGTAAACAACATAGCTTTAAAGAAACATAAAAGTCTGAAATTAATACTGCCAGAAATCTGTAAAACTGATAAGATTTTATATTCCTCAGATTTTTATAAAATTTTCAAGATAAAATTGGGAAATAGAAACTATAACTTGCCCGTTCTTGTGCACGATTTAACAAGCACATTGCCTCCAGATCAAATGTATTTTCCGTAAGTCTCTTTTGGGCTATCGTCCGTTCAGTCAGTGCTGATGAGATGTCCACAGGCTAAAAAAAAATAGTAAAAATATTATCTTTTCTCTATGTACTTAGGTAAATATTCTCCTACAGAGGAATACAAATTTTTATCTCATTACAAGCCAATATTGTGGCCACTAGGTTGGCCCGTTAGACTGCTGTTTTGCAAGCTGCACTGGTTGCCAGTTTGCTTCAATTCAAGATGCTGGTTATCACCTTTAAAAGCTCTTTGTGAAATGAGACCAGGTTACCAAAGGAACCATCTCATCCCAATGGGATTGGTCTGCCCCAACCACACTAGCAGAAAGGGCATGATTCCATTGGTCAAGGAATTCTGGCTGACAGGGTCTAAGAGAAAACCTTTTCTGCTGTGGCTCCTGCCCTCTGGAACATGCTCCCCAAGACAATCTTCCCCCCATCATTTTGGCCTTCCAAAAGGGCCTGATGGCCTAGATCTCCCAATTGATCTGGTGCCCCAATGAGCATGTTTCATACTGGAGGTGGTTAACTCCACTTTTATCCCCTATGTATCTTGTCCCTTCCTTGTCAGAATTGTTAATTTTAAGTCAATTTTAAGGTTGTTTTATCTTGTTGCATTTAGTTGGTTGTAAGCCACCTAGAATCACCTATTGTCGAGATGAGCAGTAAATAAACAAATAAATGCATACACACATAAACAATGTGCCCCTCAATGCAATTTTTTGTTATAAAACAACCCATTAATGTTATATCTGTTGTGAAAGCAATTGAAAAATGCATATTACATTTGGATAGTATAATAGTATTGCACTGAAAGTTACAATTATCTTTCAAAGATATTTCAAACTTCTCACAAGGTCGGATTCAAGATTTAACATGTCTCAATATTTGGATCACAAAAGGACAAGGTGCATGACTTAGATTCCATATTACAATGTGCAGTACATGTTTATAGACACACACACACAACTCAATTTTTGAATACATTTTCCTAGCATTAGTTATGATTCAAATACAGTCTGAGAAATAAGCAATATTGAAAATACTACAAATAAATGGTAGAACTAATATACAGTATATTTACAACTATATTAATAATTAACAATAGAACAAAAGCTAGCAGGTCAGTGTTGAATCTGGATAGTGGACACTGCACTACCCAGAGATGGCAGAATAGAAGATAGAAAAACAGAGAAAATGACAAAATATTAAGACCTACAAATACAAGTACAATGATTGGTGCGCCGGGGGGGGGGAGAGGACAGTATCACTAGTAATAGCCCTCTTAGGTGCAATTCCAAAACATTCTAGTGTGTTACTTGAACACCATCAGCATTGACAAAATCACCATCAGTAAACTGCAATAGACAACTCTACTTTGAACAGCTTTTATCCTGCATTAATACCTTTAAACCATCAAACATCTGTCTCAGGTCCTGGATAAAAATGCTAACTCCAGTGTAAATATCTGACTGTACAATCAGCCATATAAATAATTTTATCAACACAATATATAGCCTATTCTAATTGCCAAATTATATACATTGGGGTGGTTGCTTTTTCTTATTTATAAAAGCATACATTTTCCACAACGAAATTTATATTCCAACTTTCCTTTGGAATTATATAACTTCCAAAGGAAAGGAATGATACACACTAAAATAATTAGTTTGACAACTTGACTGGAGCAGGTGAACAATCTAAAAACAGCACATCGTTCTATACTTGAGAATTGCACAATACATTATAATCTAATGTCTATAGATTTAATGGAAGGTTTATAGCCAGTGTCTCAAGTCTCTTTCAAATTTTTACCTCCAAATTGGCTGGATCGGGAAACACATCATCCTTGTTCTCATCCTTGTCCTTCTCAACTGGAACCCATTCCCCATATGCACTATCCGCTTCTTTTTTCCTGTGTTGAGACCCTGAAGAAACTGGAAACTCTTTTGTCAGAGTTACCTGATTTTTTGGAGGTGTTGGTTTTATTGTAGGAGTCTTTGGGAGGAGAGAAAGAATATAATTATGTTAAATAAATATAAATACAATTATACTTACAATTATGAGCCCACATACAACATATACACAAATAAGTGCTAGCACTGCATTGGCAAAATGTGTGACAAACTGAACGAGCAACAAACCATGTTTCCAACTTTGAAGTTTTACAATCCAAATAATTTTATCATATTTTCATCGTTTACTACTATCACAATATGTATAATGTATCATTCCAAAGTCCATGATACAAAGCAAAATAAAACTTTTTTAAAATAAATGTTGCAAAAATAGGGGGCGGGAGGGGAAAGCAGTGAAATAAATGGTGATATTTGAATTCATTCTTCATCAACTTCGTCAACTATCTATGATCCAGAATAAAGTCCCTATAAAAGCAAAAACAGCCTCTTTTCTCTTTTTCCATTAAACTATCTCATGAGAAGAATTCGACTCAAGGAAAAACCATATAATATAAATTCATTATTATAGAAATAAGGTTGTCTATGAGTATATGTCATCCATTTGAAAACAAATATCATAGGCAAAGGCACATTTGTCTTGATCCATTCTAAAGATTTGCAGCAATAGTTTATTTAGGTAATCATGGTAGGTCATGCTGTAATGCATATTAATTATGCTATTGGTTTTTAACAGTTGATTTTTTATTTCAATTTGTATTATCTTTTACTATTGCTGAAATCTCTAATAAAAAGCATTTTTAAAAAAGATTTTGAAATGATGCTGAGAAGATATTAAACAGTTTCTCTAGATTTACATCAAGATATTTTAAATTGAGTTGGCTAAACTCCTTATTTTATCCTGCTCACCATCATGTAAACTCTAATAATACATCATGAAATTGAATCTCATACATAGAGTTTTAATTTTTATAACAGAACTTCACTTAATACAATTCCAATCCAATTCCAAATCTCCAAAACAATTTTTGAGGAGTCTAGGACCTACGTGGGTATTAGAAATCATTCGTCTTTCCCATTCTGCTAAATCTTGTTCCGTAAATTATATGAAACAAATCAAATGTTCACTACTGTCTCAATAGTGTAAATATATTACTGTGTGTTAACTAAATGTTCAATAACTTGAAGGGAGGAAGGTAATCTCTGTCTTTTCACCACTTAGAACTCCACTTATATTTTGCTTTTTAAAATGTTGGTGAAATCCATTTAAAAACCCAGAATATGCCCAAATGCTAGCAATAGCTCATTACACTAACAGTCAGTATTTCTCTGCAATTAATAAAACATTGTACTTGTGTGTTCCCTTGTCACTTAAGTGTAAAAAGTACATAAATGAAACAAAATGCAGCTACAAGTGATGTTTACAATACGTACAGTTAAATTGAAAAAAATAGGCTTGGGCTCATTCAGTTTAAAGGGATGGTTGATAAAAGGATGTTCCTCCTCTTCTTCATCAGAAACATGAGGCTTATTTACAATGACATCATCTTCCTGGCTTTGGGCAATCTTCTTGCATTTCTGAAAATATAAAAAACCATTATATAGAATATAATGAAATAAAATTATTAAAGGATCAGGAAGATAAATGTATATAATGGAATTTCCTAAAATATGACAATAACAGTTAAAAATACTAGACTCAGAACAATCATCCACTAAAACAGTATAACTAAACCTGCTCTTACTGCCATTCAGAGTTACAAAGCCAGGTGATCTAGTAAATCTGAGAGCTAATTAGTTTATTTCCAGAAAGGATGCATAATTTTATCCCGGATAAAGAACAAAGCAATATTATTATTCTTATCATGTAAAAGCCAGTTTGGTCTAAGGGTTAAGGTACCTGGCTAGAAAGTGGGAGATCATGAATTCTAGTCTACCTTCGGCACAAAGCCAGCTAGGTGACCTTGGGACTATCATATCTCAACTCTAGAAAGAAGGCAATGGTGAGCCACTTCTGAAATCTGTTGAAAAAACTTCCATGATCTAATTAGTCACCAAGAATCAATACTGATTCAAAAACACACCGACATATACACAAATCAAGTAAAAAAAATCCAGACTCAGTTCATTTGCACTTGCACTTATTTGTGTCCTTGTATTAGATCTAATGTTTTTCAAACAAGGTATTTTTTTATTTTGAAAACTAAATATAGCACGAATTGTTTTCATTACATCAGTGTTAAGACAGAACGCAAAATGATTTCAAATTCATGATGCTCTGTTCTGTTTCAATTTTGGAATTGTTTGAGAAAATGACCATTTTATATTTAAAATAACCGGTTTGCACTTAAAGGTGTTTCAAATTTGACACTTTGGCACACCTCTAGCTAATTTTCATACATCAGTTTCATTTTGTTCCTCTCACCTCAGTCAGTTCCAATATTGTTTCTTTTGCTGACTTTTGAGTAACTTTCTCTTCCTTCTTCTCTGGAGTTATAACAGGCATCAGATTTGGTGGGAGTGGAACACCAGCCTTAGCACACATTGCTGCTGCATTTGCCTTGGCTATTTCAAGTAACTGTGCTTTATCTACAAGGAAAAGGAAATTATTTATATTTTGTCAGTCTCGTGATGTGAACATACAGAATTCAAATGCTGGTTTGAAATTTGAACAATTGTCTACCTCTTTCCAAATATCTATTCTAGCATTCTCACCCACTTAAGAAGCCAATTATTAAGTCTGGGTGTTCAGTTAAAGTAGAACAATAGGCAGTATAATTTTTGAATAGAGATATTAGGCAAAATGAGAAAATAACAGGTATAAATATTAAAAAGTTTATAAATTGAGGGCATTCGCTGATGGTTATATTTTTGCAAGACCCCAAAAATAATATAGAATATTTGATGAGGAAATTAAATGAGTTTGGGGTTTTAGCAGGTTTTAAAATAAATACACAGAAAACAACAATGCTTATTAAGAATAGGACCTCTCAGGACGGTGACATATTGACTAAAAGGCTGGTTTGAAGGTTGAGAAAAAGTGAAAAACCTGGGGGTTATATTGGTAAATAGAAACACAAAACTATTTCAAAATAACTATGTACATTTTTGGAATAAAATCGAAAAGGACTTATTGAGATGGGATAAATTGTAATTATCATTAATGGGTAGAATTTCTGTAATTAAGATGGATGTTTTACCAAACATGCTTTTTCTGTTTTAGACGCCATTACTTGCAACTGATACTCCATTTAAACAATGACAGAGGGATATTTCCACATTTATATGGCAAGGGAAAAAACCAAGAATTAGATACAAATTACTGCAAGATGCTAAGGAAATAAGAGGTTTGGGTTTATCAGATTTGAAATTGTATTTCGATGTTTGCTGTTTGAGGTCTGGCTAAAAGAGTGGGTTAATCTTCAGAATAAGAGAATACTTGATTTAGAGGCCATGAATTAAGATTTGGATGGCACAGCTATTTATGGTATGACAAGGTTAAAGTAAATGTCTATTTTAATAACCATTTTGTTAGACGTGCCCTCCTCCTAAGAATTTGGAATAAATATAAAACAAAATTTTCTGTGAAGATGCCAGGAAACTTTTTTTAGTAAAGGAATGGTGGCAAAGCCAGACTGATGGACTTATGGTCAAATAATATATTTTAGTTTAGTTTTGTTTACTTTATTGTCATTGCATCTCGTACAACGAAGTTTTGGTGATCCTAAAATCTAAAGAGGAATTAGAATCAGAAGGACGTGTCTGCCATTGGTTTGCATAATTACAATGGAAAGAAAGATTTAAATCAGACAAAAAGTTATGGGTTTGACTGTGAAAAATGAATTAGAAATCTTACTGCACGGTAGTGATGAGCATATTATTGCTAAGGCCTATAAATTATTGAATTTGAATTTGGACAATGAATATGTAAAGCATTACATGATTCAATGGGCAAGAAACTTTGGATATAATGTAATGAACAATGGGAGAATATATGGACGAAAGGTCTAAAATTTACACTAAATTGTAATTTAAAAGAAAAATTTTATAAGATGATGTATCATTGGTATTTAAAACCAGATAAGTTGTCAAGAATGTATAAAGGCATTTCAAATGAATGTTATAAATGCAAATGTAAAGAAGGTATCTTTTATCACTTATTGTGGACATGTGATAAAGCAAAGAAATATTGGAGTAAGATTCACATCTTAATACAGAAGATTCCCAAAGTGAATATAAAGATAAAACCAGAAACTTTTATTCTGGGTTTAATGGAAAAAGACTTGGAATTTTTTTGGGAACTGTGTTATATATGTTGACAGCAGCAAGATTACTTTACACACAAAAATGGAAGGCCACTTTGATTCCTGCAATGGATGAATGCTTGCAAAAGTTGTGGAATTAGCAGAGATGGCCATATTGACTGCTTTGATCAAAGAAAAAAAATACAATTGCTTTTGTTTTTACTTGGAAACCACTTCTGAACTTTGTGTTTGAGGTAGAAAAAAATGAAACTTTTGAGTTTTATCAATTAAATAGGTTTGTTGTTATAGAAATGGCTAGTTTATAATATGTCAAAGTAAAAAGTTGAGGTTTGATGTTATTGTCTTATTCTACTGCACCAAAGGGAAATCAGAAATCAACCTTTCTTCCACCTCTTTGCCCTACACTTTTCCTTTCCCTTTTCCCTCTGTTATTTTCCTATTTCTTTTGTATTTTTATATTTTATATTATAAATTAATAATGTAGAAAAAAAATAAGAAAAAAGTATGCCAACTAGTCAAGATACTTGAAGGCATGATATTGGCTGGGGGCGATTATAAAAAATGAAAGACTTGCTATCAGGGTTCCAACCGATGCCCTAATTAAACCATGAACCTCAAGCTCAAGCCACTTTTATTATAGTAATTAATGAATTATCTTTTGTCTTCCAAGTCTTCCTGCCCTTTCTGGTCATCTTGGATATTTTTCTTCAAATACTAATCAGCATCAAGATGCATATAAATGCAATGCAAAACCTAAACTGTGGAACCCAAAGGTGCTTTTTCAAAACTCAAGCTGGATTGTTTTTTTCCTTGAAGATGTTTTACTACTCATCCAAGAAACTTCTGAAGGGCGGGGAATAGCTTTGAATGCATTCATGATATGAAATAAATATATGAATGCTAAAATAATCTAGCAAGAGGAAACATTGCTTACCCAAGTCAGTGAGACGTTTTGGTGATCTGCTTGAAGATCTAGACCGTCGATGATCAGGTGATTTACTAGTACTTCTTCTTCTTCCTGTAGACCTAGAACATCTCAGACGGACAGGTGTTCGACTTCTGGACCGCAACCTGAGAGATATTCTATAACTGTCTCTTGAATCAGATCTTCTTCTCCTCCTCTCTGTTGATCTTGATCGATTTCTCCGAGATCGTCTATTTCTTTTTCTTGACAAAGATCGCTGTCTTGATACTGATCTTGATCTAGTCCTCCTCCGTCTTGAACGTGATTGTGAACGAGTTCGAGACCGTGACTGTGATCGATGATCAGATTTAGATCTTGTTCTCTTCCGTGTTAATGATCGTGAACGATTTCTTCTAGACCTTGATACTGTTCTACGTCTACGAGACCTAGTTTCTGGGGACTTGGAACCTTTACTTTTTGATCTTCTCAAGCGTTCTTTCTCTCCTGCTTTATCAATAGATTTAGACCTAGACCTAGATTTAGATTTGTGCTGCTCAGGTGATTTTTCTCGATTATTCAAAGTTGCTTCCAAAGACTCAGTTCCATCTGTTTTCTCAAGAGACTTAGACTTTGATCTGTATTTAGAACGTTTTTCTCTTGATCCATCCACAGAATCTTTGTCTTTTTTTCTTTCAGAAGACTTTGATCTAGATTTTGATTTAGATTTTGGCCGATCTGATGACCTAGATCGTCTATGTCTAGAATTTAAGGTTGACTCCCTCTTTTCAACTGATTTTGTTCTGGACTTATGATCAGTAGATTTAGATCGTCTTTTTGATTTTGCTGCGGTTTCTGTGTTCTCAACAGATTTCGATCTAGATTTGTGATTATCAGAAGACCTAGAACGTCTCCTTTTTGATCTAGCTGAGGTCTCTCTTTTATCAGCAGATTTGGATCTAGATTTGCGATCAGAGGACCCAGACCGCCTTCGTTTCATCCTCACTGAAGTCTCCCTTTTGTCAACAGATTTGGACTTTGATCTGCGGTTATCAGAAGACCTGGATCGCCTTCGCCTTATCCTCACTGAACTCTCTCTTTTGTCAACTGATCTGGATCTTGACTTACGATTATCAGAGGATCTTGAGCGCCTTCGCCTTCCTCTCCCTGAAATCTCCCTTCTGTCAACAGATCTAGACCTAGATTTGCGGATTTCAGGGGTCCTTGATCTTCTCCCCCTTCTTCTCACTGAAAGCTCTCTCTTGTCATCGGGAGATCTTGACCTAGATTTGAGATTATCAGAAGATCTAGATCGCCTTCTCCGTGTTCTTATTGAAGAGTCTCTTCTGTCAAACGATTTGGATCTAGATCTACAATGATCAGAAGACTGAGATCGCCTTCGCCTTGTTCTCACAGAGGTCTCTCTTTTGTCACTTGATCGTGATCTAGATTTATGATGGTCAGAAGATCTGGAGCGCTTCCTCCTTGATCTTGTCAAAGTCTCTCTTCTATCAACTGATCTTGATCTAGATCTGCGATTGTCAGAAGACCTGGATAACCTTCGTCTTCTCCTAGCTGATTCTCTTTTTTCAACTGATCTGGATCTAGACTTGTGATCAGATGATCTGGATCGTCTTCGTCTTGATCTTATTGAAGTTTCTCTTCTATCAGGAGATTTAGATCTAGATTTAAGACGATCAGAGGTTCGTGACTGTCTTCGTCTAGATCTTAATGAAGATTCTTTTTCTTCTTTTTTATCAACAGATTTGGATCTAGATTTATGACGTGAAATGGAGTGCTTTCTCTTGGACCTGGAATCATTTTTGCTTCTAGAACGTGCTCTTCTAGATACATGTCTAGAGGTAGAACGTGATCTAGATTTCTTTTTACGCTTCTTTGACTTGGAAGGAGATTTTGATCTGCTTTTTTTTGCTTTTTTTCCACTTTTACTTTTATCTTTACTTTTGCTACTTATTTTTTCACTTTTTTTGTCTTTTAAATTACTCCCATCACTTTCCTTAATTATGTCTGAAGAATTCAGAGTAGCATCTGAATCCTGATATTTTGAAGAGTCCTGAAGAGAAATTTCCAAGTCTTTATCCTTTATTATAACCTCAGATTCAACAGCTATTCCTGAATCTTTTGCCTCAATGCATTCTCCCACTTTGATGACTTCTTTCTCTGTCAAGTGCACAGGCTTTACAGCTTCTCCTGAATCTCCCAGCACAATGGTTTCCAGTTGATTTACTTCCACATTGCCTTCTGTTGTCATACAGAGAGGTTTTATAGTTGTTTGCTCCTTTGAAGAAATCTGTACATCTAAATCTTTTCTGTTTGCCACACCTACAGATTCTAAGGTTGCTTCTGAATCTTTCATTTCCGAAGTCAACTGTGGAATTATTTCTGCACTCTTATCTTGGGTTAATATCACATGTTCTACAGTTGATTCCTGAACTTTCCCTTCTGCCACAAATCCACTTTTTAAATTCTGTTCAATATCCTTTGTACTTGAACATTCAGAAACTGATACAAAATCTTTAACAGGTTCTACAGCTGTTTCTAATAACTTTTGTTGTGGCAAACTTGAGTTTCTTTCCAAATTCTGAGTGTTTAAAGGTAACACTGTTTTTGAGAGTTCCTGAAAATCCATTTGCTCTTTCTCTCCTGATGTTTGTACAGTTTGAAGGTTTTTTATTTCAATGACAGACTTGCTTACAGCAACTGTTTCAAAATCTTCCAGTTCTTTCATGTGTACAGAGTCTGAAGCATTGTTACATTTCAATTCCATTATATCGGTAAGTCCTGAATTTGATTTTGATTTATTAATATCTGTAGAAATGTCAGGTGACTTGTTAATTAAATTGTCTAGTTCTACATTTGTATTTGTAGCCTGTGTATCTGACATAGTTATACTTTCCAGAAATATTTCAGAACATTTTTCAGTTGTTTCTGGAACTATAGCTGATATATTTGATCCGGTATCTCTTACTTTTGAAATTTGAGTAGTTATCTCTGAAATACCTATTATTTCTTCATATGTAAGACTTCCTTTTAAATTTTTGGCCACTGTGGTATCATATTGGGGAGACTCTAAATCTTTTATTTCCTGGTTACGTCTATATTTCAAAATTTGTTCTAGGTTTTCCATATTGCCTGAAGATAATATATTTGAAATAGCTTTCGAAAGTTGGTCTTGTGTCACTTTTTCAGATTCGGAAGCAATTTTGAATGGATGTGTTGCTAGCCCATATTTAATTTCTGAAGCAGATTCCAAATTTTTTACTTCCAAAATGTTTTCTTGTTGTATTTGCGAGTCAGAGTCAATTATTTCTAGTGGACAACTCTCTGCAGTTGTGTCAGAAGATTTGAAACCAGTTACTCCCAAATACGTTTGAGCAGTTTTGAGCTCTGGGATTTTTGAACTGTCAGTTACTTCCAATATAGAAACAGATTCTGAAGATGTTAATTCTGGTTTCTTTGACTGCATTGCAGTGGCCACTGGAGTTTTTATTTCCGATAGTCTTTCATAGCTCATTGTTGCTCTTAAACCTTTTGGTTCAATTTTAGACCCAGACTGTGAAACATCAGCTGCATCTCTGGATTCCAATACATAAAGAGACTTAGTATATTTTTCTCTCTGAGTAGCTTTTAAATCCTTCATCTCTCGTGCATCTAAATTAGTAGGGCTTTCTTTCAAATCTTGGACATCCACCATAAATTCAGGCAGAGTTGTATCAAGCTTCTCTCTCTCTTGGCCTGTGATAGTTTCAGAAACTCCAGAACATTTTAATAATTCTGTACCTGATTCTGAAGTTATACCAGAAACACTTTCTTTGTCAGCAACTGACAGTCTTTCTTCTATAATCTGTGCTCTTACACCACGATTTGAAGACATAAACAGTTTTGAAATATTTGCATCATTTTCATTAGATGGCTGGACAGGTTCATCATTTATCTTTTCTTTACCCATAAACTCTACATTAATTGACTTCTGACTTCCTTCTACCCTTTTCATATCTGTTCTGTAATTACGTTCAAAACTTTCTTCTGGTACATCTATGGATTCCACTGAGGCAAATAGAGATGTTAGAACACCCTGCTTTTCTATTACATCCAATTCTTTAGACTTGGGAGGTATTTCTAGATCTTCAGTATCTATTATGTATACAGATGCTGGAGGTGTTTTCAAATGTTCATATGTCAATGCTTCACTTCTGAGTAATGCATTTGACTTTTGCAACTTTGTTACACTCTTTGATTCTGGAAGCATTTCATTTTTTCTGGGAGTTTCTGCTGTAAATTCCACACTATCTGATTTACATCCTGGAATGTATTCTTTAGTTTCTACACCTGTTTGAAGCAAAGGTTCTGAATCAATGTTCAAGTCTTTTATATTCATTGTTTTAGATTCTGAAGTTTTTGAATCTTTCATTTGAATTTCATAAGACTTTGGGATGGTCTCTGAATTTGTTTTTGCCAAGTACACAGTTTCTGGACCATAGTCTGAAACTTTAGTTCCAGAATCAGAAGTAAGAACAATCAGATCTCTCTCTGACAAATGCAGAGATTCTGGTGCGTCCATTAATCCTGTAGTTTCTATTTTTTCTTCCAATTTCTTGTTCTTTTCCTGAATATTAAATTCATCTATATACAGAATCTTTGAACTTGTTCTTGCACATTTAACACCTAAATCAAGCACAGAATCTAAACATTCTTTTCTAATTTGTGTCCTTGTGTGCTCTAATTGTTCTTGACTTTGTTCAAGAGATTCTGAAACTGATTCAAATTGTTTCACAGTAGTGCCAAATGGAAAATCATCTTTTGGTTCAATTAATACTAAATTTTTCAATTTAAAAAAATCTTTAGGATCAATTGCAGCTGCCAAAGGTTTTTCAGGTTCTTTTAAGTCTTGTACTACTGCTATTTCTTTAAATTCTTGATTACTTTTTTCTGAATTTACATCAATTTCATGCAATGATTTTGAAATGAATAATGGACCTTGACTCTTACCTAACGACTCACTTTCTCCTATTTTACTGGAGTTTGTTTCAATTAGTCCCTTACTTCTTGATATAAGTCCCAAATCTGTTGTATCTGCACTACTTTGGTTTTTCTTTACAGTGGAATCAAAACGTTTCTGTTCTATTTCTTGCACAAAATGAGATTCGGTTTCACTTTGTTTCCTATTGGAAGTACCTTCAAGTGTCTCCATGTATGTCACAGTTGGTAATGCAATTGATTTTGATGCAGTTTCCACATTTTTTACATGTTTTTGCAATGGTTTTAAGTTTTCTTGTAAATCATTTGCTTCAGTCACTGCTTCAGATTCTGTACTTTTAACATATCTGATTTCCTTGGCACACGATGGTTCAAAATTGTCAACATTCGACTTATGCAATGATTTCAAAACTGCATCTGAATTTTTCAACTCCATACCTTCAGTTTCTGTATAAAGTTCTAGATTATGTTCTGAATAGTTTGCAAATATCATCTGCAGGGAACCTGAGCCAGCATCCACATCTCTCTCTTCAGGTTCAAGACCAGTTTTGAAATCTTTTTTGTGTGCCTCCACATCAGATTGTGAAGTTTCCTTCACTGTTTTAATTTCTTCTATGCACTGCAACTCTGAAGAGGTATTTTCTAAATTGTTTGCAAGCATTGAAGATTCTGGAGTATTTTTCAACTTCTCTGCATTCTTGCTTTCTTTCTTTCTTAGATCTACATATTTTGAACTTTCCAGATTTTGTATTTTCCCAACCTCTGTTTGTATTGTTGTTTCTGAAACATTCACGTCTTTTAATTGCGAAGCATTTTCAGGAACTTTCACATTAAACAGTGCCAGAGAATGTTGAATGATTTTAGAGTTTCCTCTATTTTCTATTACAGTTTCTAATGAAGTTTCCAAATAATTAATCTGTTCAGCCTTCTCAAATTCCTGGACACATTCTAAATTCTTTGCTTTAGAAGATTCTGGAGCAGGTTTCCAATTTTCTGATTCTGTTACAGCATCAGATTTTGCTTTTAAGCATTTTGTGTCAATTTGCGTAAAATCAGAATTAATTTCTAAATTTGTTTTTTCCAATACTACAACTGAGAGATGTTCTTCTGAATCTATTCTAGTCATATTTTCTAACAGTGGTACTCTTTGTAAAACTGTGGCATCTTTTTGGATTGGAAGATATCCTGCATTTTTTTCTGATTCACTCAGTCCTGTCATGAGGGTAGAAGTTTCTCTTAATTCTTTCATCTCTTTTGGAATCTCTGTATTAAGGTTTGTTCTATTATATTTTTGTACATCAAATTCTGAAACTTCTTGCTGAGGTTTCAGCTGAACTACCAGAGCTAGCTCAGGATCTTTTTGAGGGACTGTATGGACAGCTTCTGGAGCAGTTTCCAAATCTTTCTGTTCTGTTCCAAACTGTTGTGGTTTGCGCAAATCTTTCATTGTGAGAGTTTTCTCAGAATCGTGCACTGAATCACTTTTTCTACTGGAATGCTTAGGACTTCTTTCTGAAGCTTTCACTTTTGCAGTATTTAAAAATTCTGAAGTTGCTTCAAAATCTTTTCCTACCACCATAGCTAAAAATCCTAAAGTTGTTACTGAATCTTTAGCTTCTGCATTTGACTCCAAAGGGAGAGTCATAAATTTATAGCCAGTTGGTTCAAAAGATGTGGATATTGTTTCTTTCAAATTTTTTGAAGCCACAGGTTCTGTGACTGAACTTACACATGTTACTTTCATTGGAGTAGATTCCAGCCTGGTTTCCAAATGTTCTGGCTCCCCTCTTACACAATATGGACTGCTTTCAGGAATGTTTTCTTGATCTGTTGTCTCCAACATTAATTTAGCTTGCTCTACTTCACTTATATCCAAAACTCTTTCTCCAACTGTGCAAATGGCATCACTTAAATATTTATCCTCTGGGCGTGTATTTACAGTTACATTAGGATGGTAACTGTCATCTTCCAATTCTTTTTCATTTGTAAGCTTGACTTCACTGACCTCCTGAATACTTATGACAGTAGAATCTTCTTCAGAGGTATCCAGTTTGCTGGTATCTGAACTAAACATATTATTCAACATAGGTGAGTTTAGATTTTCATACACAGTTTTTTCATTAATCAAAGTAGAAACTTCTTTCAAGGTAGACCCAGAGGGTGTATCTATATCATTTTCAGCACTTAAGAGAGAACCTGAATTTTCCAGATTTGAATGAGAAATAAGTTGCATATCTCCGCATTCCTTTTGCTGAACATCTGTTTCTTTGGCATGTTTTTTATATTTCTTCTCTTTTTTTTCCTTCTTTCGTTTTTTCTTTTTCTTTTTATCTTTATGTTTCTTGTCCTTCTTAGACTTTTTCCTTGGAATTTCATCTTGCACGTCTTCAGATAAGCCTCTCTTAATAGAGCGTGAATTATTCCTTTCGATATCATCTCCATCCCCTTTAAAAAGATATTTTGATTAAAATTTAAAACAAAAACTGACAAAGTTGTATGAAAATCAAAGGCCAAATTTTATAAGACTAACCAATAAGCAGTTTTGCTATATTTGCTGGAATTGTCAGGTTATAGGAGTCAACAAGCAATTATTATTAAAAATACTGATATATACCATGAATTTCCAAAGAAATTCCAAATTTCCAAAGACCTAAGGTCCTATACCTTAGTCCTCAACAAAGACCTAAGGTCCTATACCTTAGTCCTCAACATACGACCACAATTGAGCCCAATATTTCTGTTGCTAAGTAAGAAAATTGTTAAGTGAATTTTGCCCCATTTGATGACTTTTCTTGCCACAGTTGTTAAATGAGTCACTGCAGTTTTTTAGTAACATGCTTGTTAAATGAACCTGGTTTACCAATTGACTTTGCTTATCAGAAAGTCACAAATGTTGATCATATGATCTCGGGATACTGCAACCTTCATAAATATGAGTCAGTTGCCAAGTGGCTGAATTTTGACAACGGAGATGCTGCAACAGTCATAAGCATGAAAAACAGTTTTAAGTCACTTTTTTCAGTGCTGTTGTAACTTCAAATGGTCACTAACTGAACTGTTGTAAGTCAAGGAATACCTATATTTACTGATTCCTTTATAGCATATTCATTTATGCCTTAGGTTTAGGGGGTTTATCTTCACCATAGGGGGCATTTTTGCACAATTTCTTTTTAATTTATATATTAATTAGATCATGTTCTTTCTAACTTAAATTTTCATCTTCTTTTGGCAGACAGATTCCAATTTTAACATATCCAATTATGCAGCAATATGTGAATATTAGAAAAGCACAGAACTCCATATTGGTCCTTTGTAAAGCTGAAATCATCAGATTTATTAATCATCAGATTTATTAATCATCAGAAAACCAAGATAACACACTTTGTTGAAAAAAAAAGTCAACAGTTCTACTACACCTGACATATTAACGGAAATAGTGTCTTCTGTATTTTTGTGGACAGAGTAACTCAAATACTTTGCTCTCTATGCACAAAGAATAACCCTTTTTTTTTTTTAACAAAGGGGAGGGTGATCCTATATCAACAACAGGTAAAATTTTTGAAGGCAAAATTTTCCCTTAATTTCTTTATAGCATAGAACTCTATTCAGAAGATTAACTTCTGAATACAAGTTAACTATAAACGATTACAATTTAAATATTGTGTTAGAACACATTAAACATTTATACTTATGATACTTTAATTTATATAAATTACAAAATATATACAAAATTGATACAACTATTTTCTCCAAATTTCAATTTAATCCATCCTGACACAGCAAACGGTACAGAAAACAGTACAAACGTTTTGCAAAACAGTACGTAATTCTTCTCCAGAAGGCTATATTAAATGTACGCATTTTGGAGATAACATAATATTTTGCAAGGATTATCTATTTTAAAGACATATAGATAAAATTAAAAACTGATCTTAAAATATTTTTTAATTTACCTGATTTGTACCGTGGCTCAGTACCCAACACTTCTGATAATACTTGTTCTATCTTCTGCACTAGTGAATCATTTTGAAGACTTTCTATAGATTGAATTGTATCATCTGAGGAATTTACTTGTCCAGATGTGTTTATTTCACCATTGTGCTGATTTCCTAGCTTTCCACTAATCAAGAAAAAAAATTTAAAAATCTCAAGATCAGACATATTTCAAGAATATACAGTCAAATATATCCTATATGTTTACTAGTTCAACAATTTACACATAAACCTCTTAGACAAAAACTGTATAAATATAAAAAATATTTTCATATGAAATTCACAACAAAGGAAAAGTGCTCAACAGGTAATAATCACATAAAGCATAATACAATAAAACAATAAAGTCATAATTTATGTCAGTCAAATGTATAGAACATTACATGTCCTTTGAAGTACATATTACATATAATAATGTCCAATGTCCATGTTTTTAACAGATGAGACAAGAATGCCAAGGCATTGTACCATACATTGTATTCAGAAGACTATATTAAAAACAGTGGGAGGACATAAATTTCCTTGCAGAAAATAGTACTTATATCTGATATTTTTAATCAAACTTACAATTAAGCAGCTACAATAAAGCCTGCATAATCTTGAGCCCAATTCTTTTTTAGTGTTATATCCTACTATAGGTTGTCAAATCTTCAGTGCTATTTGTTTTTCTGAGGTTACCACTTGAAACAAAGGCACTGTATTTTTGCCTAACCATGTATATCTGTTTTTCAGCCATGTGCACTCAGCTGACATAGGTAAATAAAAGCCATTTACAAATCAACATTAGAGTGTAAGAAAATTGAGTGATCTTTTCAAGTGCTAATTTGTTGATAATTACCTGTATACTCCTTTTCAGAATATAACATCCCTTTTTTGTAGTTTTATGACACAGATATAATCTGATTATTTTTACTCTAACTAAAGTAAACTTGAGTTACATTTATTTGTTTCATGAAAATGAAAGGAATATTTATAAGAATTATTCTGTATACTGGCAAGCATCTCAATGCATATGTTCAATGGAATTTGAACATATTTGCACAAATTTGTGCAATTTTTTTTAAAAAACAACAACAAAGTTTTAGAGTTGCTACGTCATTCAGCCTATTTCAGTATTTGTTCCTGGCTACAATACTGAAAATCTATTTTCACAAATATATGCTGAAGAAAGTACACTTGGACCTACAATAATTTCACTCTGCAAGCTCACATTCTTTGGAAGTTTACATTATTTGTAATGCAACCACTTAGGGCAGAAATCTCAATATTAGTTCTTCATTCACACATAGGGTGCTGATTCAGGTAGTAAAACTCACTCCAAAACCTAAAACATATTTACATGTAAGCTACTGTCTTCCAAAGAACAGAATTTAAGATAGTAATCTACAGACACAACAATTAAAATGCAAACATTTGTTTACTGCTATAGAAGTGCATTTCCAATTTGCATCTTTTGTTGCAATTGCCTAATTATAAAATTTAAAGAATATCTATAACCTTTATACTACTTATTGACATAACTTCTTGCCAAAAGGGCAGGGCAGAGCTGAGGATTTTGTACAGTTTCTGCATGATAAAATCGCTCAGATCCAGATCGGATTGGACTCTGACTGGGCAGAATCCAATGGGGAGACTAGGGTAGGTCTTGAGAGCAATATCTGGGTTGAGTTTGACCCTGTTTCTGTTAAGGAAGTGGACAGGATTATGGGTAAATTTGGTTCCTCCACTTGCTTATTGGATCCTTGTCCCTCCTGGTTGGTTTCGGCTGTCAGGGAGGTGATTAGAGACTGGATCCAGGCAATTGTCAATGCTTCGTTGAAGGAGGGGGTCTTCCCCGCCTCTCTTAAGGAGGTGGTGGTTCAACCTCTCCTCAAAAAGCCTTCCCTGGATCCAGACTCACTTAATAATTATCGTCCCGTCTCCAACCTTCGCTTCATTGCAAAGGTTGTTGAGACTGTGGTGGTGCAACAACTCCCACAGTTCCTGGAGGAAACGGAATACCTAGACCCATACCAATCGGGCTTCCGATGCAGGCACAGCACAGAAACGGCATTGGTTGCTCTGGTGAATGATCTCTGGCGGGCTCGGGATGGGGGTTGTTCCTCCATCCTGGTCCTACTTGACCTCTCAGCGGCTTTTGATACCATCGACCATGGTATCCTACTGCAGCGACTTGTGGGATTGGGGGTGGGAGGCACTGTTTTACAGTGGTTCTCCTCCTACCTCAGGTCGCTTGCAGTTTGTATGGGCGGGGGGGCAGAGGTCCACCCCGAGGCCCCTAAATTGTGGGGTGCCTCAGGGGTCGGTTCTCTCCCCCCTGCTCTTTAACATCTATATGAAGCCACTAGGTGAAACCATTCGTGGCTTCGGGGTGAGATATCATCAATATGCTGATGATACCCAATCATACATCTCCACCCCAGACCACCCCAGAGATGCCCTTTCGTGATGTCCCGTGGTCTGGAGGCGGTGCAGGCCTGGATGGGTAGACTCAGACTCAACCCCTCCAAGACTGAGTGGCTGTGGATGCCGGCATCTCGGGTTTCAGAGGCCCCATCACTTTTGATGGGTGGGGAAAAACTTGCCCCCATTGATAGGGCTCGCAACTTGGGTGTCCTCCTGGATGCTCGGCTGTCCCTAGAAGACCACCTGACGGTCGTGACCAGGGGGGGCCTTCGCACAGGTTCACCTGGTGCACCAGTTACGCCCTTTCCTGGACCAAGATGTCATTCATGCCCTGGTTACTTCCCGCTTGGATTACTGCAATTCCCTCTACATGGACCTGCCCCTGAGATGCACCCGGAGACTCGAGCTGATCCAGAATGCAGCTGCATGGGTTGTTACGTGAGCCCCTTGTTACTCCCATATAACACCTCTCCTGCGTGAGCTGCACTGGTTACCAGTGGTTCTCCGGGTCCGCTTCAAGGTGCTGGTTCTCACCTATAAGGCCCTACATGACTTAGGTCCGGGATATTTGCAGGACCTTCTCCTGCCTGCCTCCCACCGTCCTGTTTGTTCACATAGGGCTGCTCTCCTAAGGGTTCTGACGGCAAGCCAATGTCGTCTGGCGGCGCCAAGGGATAGGGCATTCTCTGTGGGTGCTCCCACCCTCTGGAATGAGTTGCCTACCGAGCTCCAGACGGCTCCTGATCTCCGCTCCTTCCGTCAGGACCTGAAGACTTGGCTGTTCAAGCAAATAGGCTGACTCTTATTCTGGGTTTTATTATTTATTAGTTAATTTGGTTTAAAATGGGATTTTGTTGTACATGTTTTTAACTTGTGTTCGCTGCCCTGAGTCCTTCTGGAGAAGGGCGGCATATAAATACATGAAATAAATAAATAAATAAATAAATCCCTCTTGCATTCAGAATATTCTCTTCTGACATGTGGTATTTTATTTACTGCCTCTATAATCAGAATTTGGTGTTTTAAACATTTAGCATTGCCAAAGAAATCCCTATTATCGATCTTGTCCAATAGGTCTACATCAGTATCATATATAATAATAATGAATATCAGTAAATAAAATAAAAATAGAGGCAAATTTGCTCAAGTGGTTAAAGCACCAGGCTAGAAACCAGAAGACTGAGTTCTAGTCCTGCCTTAGGGATGAAAGGCAGCTGAGTGACTTGGGACCACTACTTCTAGAAAGACAGCAATGGCGAGCCACTTCTGAACTCTTGTCTCAAGGACTTGTCCAGTCACTCACCATGATTCTATGGTAACTAACAAAAAATAGTTTTATCAATAAAGAATTATCTATTATAAATTTTATAAATAATCCAATAGGTAAAATTAGTTGGATAATCTTTCCTTGATATTCTTAAGCATGGTATAGTTTCATAACCATTTTTAAAATGTTTAATTTTACTTTCAAATAATCACACATTTCAAAAAAAAAAAATCAAAAAGACATTTTTGGCAAATTGATTTAAAGCTATGCTTTAAAAGGGTCAGATTCTACAATTTTCTACGAACAGTAAACTGCATTTATCAGTGTATTTCCATATAACTCTCGTCCCTTTCTCATTCCCGGGAAAGGATACCAAATAAGCACCTTTCTTGAACGCGTCAACTTTTTAAAACGCTCGATGTTGTACAGGAGGCGGCAATTAGATAGTCGCAGGGTTTAAAATCCGCTTTCAAGTTCTGAAACCCACTGATTACTTCCAACGATTCGATTTCGAAATTTCAAATAACGAAGGATTGACATTCTTTGCGACGCCAAAACAACTACCAGGCCGCATATGTCGGCTTCTCTTTTTCCAACCTTCTGACTCCCCCGCCCCCTTTCCGTCTTTCGGAGACCCAATTTCTCTCCCATAGTTTCCGTGTCTAATTCAAATCGATAGTCCGACTAAATTTGCCCTCGGCCTAGTTCTCGAACAGCTGTGTCCCCCTCGATGCCCCTTCCGGTCTCTCGGCTAACCCCTCCCCCACTCCATCCGCTTCATCCGTTACTCCGCGTACCCAATGCCCGAGTCTACCTGCTTCCAGGCAATATAAAGCTCATTCCTCTCACGATTTACCTGCCGAATTGCTGTTCCTGGATCTCCCGGAACTTGGTAACGACGAAAGACCGAAAAATTTGCTCGATGTTAGTCGCCATGACAGCCTTGCGCGGCACAAACCCCCTCACTCTCCTCGAGACGCAGATCCGCCTGCGCTCTACAATGCAACGCCGGAAGAAGATGCAGCTCTTTCCTACCTCTTCCTTTTAACTTCTGCGTTCTCTGATTGCTTGCTTTGAGGTCGGAGGTGGGGACTGGAGCCGTCTGTGTGTGGACGCTCTGCCCTCGATCTTAGCCATAGAGTCCCGAACCGCCGAGTTCCCCCACAGACGTTACTGTTTTCTTTTTTTTTTATTTGCTGCAACCGCTAGTCATTGTTCCGTGGGAAGTCTATACTAGGAAGGGAGAACGTATAGAAGATTATAACGATTACTTCCTAGGTTAAAATTAATTTTCTGATGGTGGAAGTCACTTCTTGGGCGCTCCCTCAGCTTTAAACCTTGACTGAATTAAACGGTCCCCCCCCCCGTCCCAAAGGTTCATGCCAGGCAGTGCTCGGGGCTGGAAGACCTTAGCTTTACCGTTGCCTCGCTGGGCACAGCGGCCATATTGCGGCTGCGCTTCACGGCGAGGTGACTGCTTATCGCTCGGAGTCGGGAGAGCGCGGCTCGCTGAGGAAGTGGGAGCTTGCATGGTTGCGGTGGATTGGGGGGGTAGAACGGCTGGTTTTATGACCCGGGACACATCGAAGCTCTCCTAAACATGCTCGGAAAGGTTCAATAAAGTAGTTTGAAACCAGCCCGGTATGGTGGACTGCTTACCATGGCCCGACATCATATACACATTCTGAAAAATATCTGCCTTACATTTACATAACTGCATAGTTTCTCCGCTTAATCTCTAGTGCGCAGCAACTTGAAGTCAATCGGTAGCAATCGCTAAAGCGCCATTTTAAACGTCCAGCAAAATTATCGGCTCTGTTCGCAATCACAAGATGGTTAACTGAATAAGTATAAGGCAGGGAGGGGGGCAAATGAAGAATGCCATTGGTAATTCAGTGCGACATCGCGGAGTTCTTGTATACATTTTGTCATTTTGATGTTGTGAGAAACTAAGGAAGAAACCGACATAACATTTCACATAACAAAATGGACAACGTTAATTTTAGCCTATTGCATCATACAATACTTAGTAATTATAAAGGAAATGTCAGGAGCATTTTAATTGAATTAAATGGTTACTTAAAGCTATAATTCAAGGGAGTAAGAAAAGCCATAGCATCTGTGGTAAGAGAAAACAAAATACAACGTTGGGCATGCTAAACATCCTTGATTCAAACAATTGTTTCTCTAGGCACATCTGAAGAACCTATCAAAAGCACTGTACATAATATTTACACAATTCTGCAATGCTTTGGTTTCATTTAAAAAAGTTGCTTTGGAATGTTAGGAGTTCGAATGCAGCACCTGTGTATGACTCATTAAAGCAGCTAGGTGCATTTTCACTTTTGCATGTTCCAAAGAACCTGTCTCACATTGAATCCAGAACATTGCACACACTTGTTACTATAACTTTTGTAGATAGTTAAACAGGAATTTGCTACCATCAATTATGATGGCTACCAGTTTAGATTATTTCAAAATGAGATTGGAAAACTTCATGGAGAAAAAGACTATAAATGACTCATCTGAAACAGTGGAAATATACATTGAATAACACCTTAAGAAGAACAAAAGTGGAAGGTATTATTCATGCTTAAGCCTGTTCACGCTTAAGAACTTTCTTAATTCTTGATCACGGATAGAATACTAGATTAGGTAACCTGCTGTCTTGATTCAGCAAGACTTATATTTTTGGCTGATGCCCCATAACTAAGCTTAGATTATGATATTCATAAATATAAAAACAATGTAAGAACTAACTGTAACTAACTGTAAAATTTATCTTTAAAAATAGCATATCTAAGGTAAAATTGTGACTGTTCTGGCTATGGGGCAGCTGGAACAATCGAGCTGAACAAACTTAAAAATGTACAAAGTGGATTTTAGGAGGAGCCCTTCTATTCTTCCATCTCTTACAATATTAGACAAGACAATATCAACAGTAGAGACCTTCAAGTTTCCGGTTCTATAATCTCCCAGCACTTGAACATCTAATATTAAAACCATCATTAAAAAGGCAGAACAAAGAATGTTCTTCTGCATCAACTCAGAAAATTCAGACTGCCCAGGAGCTGTTGATACAGTTCTACCGAGGAATGATTGAGTCTGTCATTTGTACTTCTATAACTGTCCAGTTTGTTACAGCAACCAAAAAACGACAGGTACAGACTTCAACGGATAGTTAGGACTGCAGAAAAAACAATTGCAACCAGCCTGCCTTCCATTCAGGACTGTATACTGCATGGGTCAGAAAGGGGGCTGAGAAAATATTTACAGACCTGTCACATCCTGGACCTAAACTGTTTCAAATCCTCTCCTCGGGACGCCGTTTCAGAGCATTGCATGCAAAACAACTAGGCACCAAGATAATTTTTTTCCTCGTGCCATCACTCTGCTGAACATCTAATTACCACAATATTGTCTTATGTCTAAGGATATATACCCATGTAGTATGGCTATATTCTTATCATCTTTTCTATTAACTTCTATTGGTATCTTATGATATTATCTTGTTTGTTGTGTATATGAACATGTTATTTGTCAGTTTGTATGTGATTATATTACCTTGTTTATATGTACACAGAGCTTATGCACCAAGACAAATTCTCCACAATTTGTCATGTTTATTGTGTGTCCAATCACACTTGGCCAATAAAGCCTTAGAACATTAGAAACCAAATACCAACAAGCCTCCCCCCCAAAAAAAAGATACTCAAAAGATTACTTAAAAAATAATCTGCTATTTTCTCCAGATCACTAGGAAGACAGCCTGAACTGCCAAGTTGGCATGGTCAGCACGAAAACCTTCTGGATCACCTGGAATACTACTTTCCCAGTATGGTAGATTTTCCACATACAGCAGTAGTATGATCCTCAAATTATATGGATACAGCTTTAAAAGAATATTGTGGATTATTGGACCTGTTATACAGCATATTAGGAGGAAAGCAGGTTTAAAATTTAAGAGAAAAGAAACAATTTCCATGTACCTGATACAGGTACAATATATTTTCATATGCGGCTCATTTCTTCAAATACTGGACTAAAAACCAAGAGATTGAACATTCTAGTCCTCCCTTAGGCATGAAAGCTGGTAGGGTGATTTTGAAGTAATTATGCTCTCTCAGTTCAACTCGCCTCACAGGGTTGTAATTATGGGGAGAATAAGATGTATTATATTTGCTGCCCTGAGTTGTAAAAAACTAAAACTACATTTGTTCCAGAAAAGCAATGGTTACTTTATCTATATAAATAAAAGCAAAAACCACTCATGCCGTAATCACAAAATCTCCAGAACCATAAAGCCTACAAACTTGAAATTTGCCATGTATGTTTCTCTTGGCTTCTAGATGCTCACTAAGAAAGGATTTTTCAAAATGACCATCAGAGCATTAGTATTTCCTATATTATGATTAACATGTTCTGATGCTAAGGAATTCTACTCCCCCACCTCACCTGAAAAGAAATCTGTTCCAAATGCAAAACACAAGCAGAGGAGAAGGAGTTTCACTTTCAGTTTTACTTTCACAGCAGGAAGCAGCTTTAATACAGAACACTTGAGCTAAGCCATGGCCAGGCTCCTTCCTGTCTCCTTTTGCTCACAGAACAAATACATATATTTCGCTTTCCAAACAGCCCTCTGATACTAAGAAGTTCTACTCTCCCTCCCCACCTGAAAGAAATCTGTTCCAAATGCAAAACACAAGCAGAGGAGAGGAGTTTCATTTTCAGTTTTACTTTCACAGCAGCAACCAGGGGATAGGATAGGGGAGGCTTCTGTGGGGCAAGCCTGAGGGAGAGAAGGGGATAGGATAGGATAGGGTTCTGTGGGGCAAGGCTGAGGGAGAGAAGGGGAGAGGAGAGGCCGATCATAACTACTCATTAATTTTCAAACTGTGTCAATTTATCAAGCCCAATCATATAGTTTTGTAGCGAAGCACAGGTATTCAGCTAATTTATTATATTTTTATCCTGCCTTTATGATTTTATAAGTAACAATAAAAGGTTAACTTTTTACTTCTCAAATTTTTGGTCAATACGTTAATAATACTTTAACAATTTTATATAGCACTTGGTGAACCCTTGGGTGTGTGTGTGGGGGTGTGTGTGTGCATGCATGTGTGCATATGCTTTTTGGTATTTTACTATTCCCTCCTTTAAAGATTGAACTGAGCCTGGAAGCAGACAAAACAAGTGCAAATGGAGAAGCATTAACATTTATAAACTTATTTATGGTTTAAGGCAAATTTCTGGGCTCTGCATTTATATATAATTTAACAAAAAAATACAAGGGATTTAATGTTTCAACCAAAGTTTAAGTGAAAAATACTGCATATACAATGCAGTTTTGAAATATGATTTCTGATGATATAGTATGTACCTTCCATACTTCTGAGGTCAGTAAAATGAGGACCCAGATTATTGGGGACAATATGCTGACTCTAAACCTCTTAGAACTGTAAAGCACTATGAATACAAATCTAACTGTATATAAATCTAACTGCTATTGTTATTGCTCCGTTTGCTACGCTCAAAGTTTGCTATAATAGCAAGTATCCACCGATGCAAATACACTTGTAAACACTATCTTGTTGTTTTATTAATGTTGTTCAATCTAATTGTTTAGATTAGATTCCGATATATTCAACTTCAGTTTTCAGGCTTAATAAATCTCTGTCATTATGAAATCAGTTCTATTTCTCCTTCCCTGCGAAGGGTTAAAGATCACTGAAACTGCAGCATTCTGGGAGAAGTAGTTTTTAGCATAGGCTGGTGGGGAACTATATGCTCGCTGTTTAAAAGTTGTCCGCCAAAAAGTAAGTTATCGATTTTTCTTTGGGAGAAAAAAAAACCCTATTACATTATTATGGTGTGGTTTTTTAAAAAAATATGTAATTGTCTGCTAAATGAGATAGGAGACTAATTTTTGACCTCGTGGTCAGCATTTGTAAATTTCTTTCTTGCTGTTTTTTTCTCCAGGTCCCAGTAGGCTTTTTTTTCCAAATTTCTTCGTATAAATGGTTGTGTTT